GACCTGGAGCTGGGCTGCCGTGAGTCACCGGTGACGGCCTAGGCTGCAGCCCCTGCTGCAGTAGGTTGCCATGGGCTACCGTGTGTAGCCAGCAGCCAGCGTGAGCAGCCGTCCAGAAGCCGGCAACTTATCTGCCTCGCCTGGGAAGAGCTCAATGATGATGCCAACTTGGGCCAGTGAAGCAACGTCCTCCACAACTAGACTGAAGAACAAAAAGACAGCAACTTGTCTGTTCCCCTTCCCCCAATTTCCCAATAAAATCTAAAAAAAAAAGAAAAAAAAAGGAGGCCCTGATGGGTCCAGTCCACCCCCCTGCTCATCACTCCCATGGCTCCATGGTACCCTCCTGTAGCTTGAGTGGTCTTCACCTGCCAGTTTGTACCTAGGCTAGCCCTCACTGCAAGGCCCCACCTAGGTGGACAGCAGGACCACGGTGGCTCTTCCCCCCAGAACACACAGAGGCTACCCTGACCAGGGACAAATGTGTCCCAAAGCCCATGCCCTTCGCTCTCAGAAGAGGTGGGCTGCTAAGGCCCAGCTCATGACAGGCGAGGCTGCTGTATCTTAGCACTAAGGATGCACTTAATCATTTTTGTTTTTTAAATGAATGAGCAGAGTACTAGCAGGACTTAGCAGGCTGGAGTATCTATGCAGGTGCCTATAGCTGGGAGCCCCAGGAGGGGCCAGGCTGGGCCTCGTCCCCATGACTGCAGACACGGCTGAATCAGTGCATTGGTCTGGGTCCCAGCAGAAGACACAAATCACACAGTGACTTGAAAGGGACATTTAATATAAAAATCAGTAAGCTTGGATAAAAGAATGGCTATAAGATGCAATAAAACTGCATGGTACTTTAGTGCTGAGGAAGAGCCCCCAAAGAAAATGCTTGGAAGGGGGTTCCCTCTCCAGGACTGGTGTTCAGGCATTATTGGAAAAGGCTTGGTTGTGCCCAGTGGATGGCAGAGAACTAGCTGGGTTGCCCCAGCCACGGCTCTCCAGTCACTAGGTAAGCAGGAAGCAAGAAGCAACCCTCTGGGGCACAAGCGGGGTGCAGGAGGGTCAGCTGATGGCAGGGCCTGTGGACAAGCAGGAGGCCCGGAGCTCGCAGTGTGTCGAGGGCCATCAGGTCCAGCCAGGGCCATGTTCTGTGCCCATGGCTGGAGCACGTCTCCATGGGATGCTGTTACACCCACTGCTGACCAACCTGGCAGCTTCCAGACCAGCAAGAGGCCCCCTTCCTCCTGCGGTGTCCCTCTAGCACCTCTGCGGAGAAAGCTCACCATCGCGCTCACTCAAAACGACAGTAGCATAAAGGAATTTGTTCATTGTTCGGAGCAGGTACCAAGGAAGGGTGGTGGGTCAGGTCCCTTTGGACATGGTTTCTGACCCGAGGCTTGGTAGTTACAGGGACCTGATACTGTGCCAGTTTTCAGGGCTGGGACAGAATTTTCTCCTTTACGTTAGATTGGGAGACGAAGTCAAACAGGCGCATACACACACACACACACACACACACACACACACACACACACACATACACGCCATCAATCTCTTGTAATTTCCTATTATGTTGAAATAGTTATAAAACTATTAACTGAATAACAAGAGAAAATGATCTGAATAATATATTATTTATTATGTAACAATTAGTTCTGAGACAAAGTCCAATTCAAAGCATATTACTGAGGATCCTATGTTAGTTGATTTTAGAAATGGCATAATCCAAACCTATTTTTCCAATACATTTTCTTATGTAACCTTTAAGGAATTTTTCACTCCCATCATTTGGCTCTGGAAACATTTGTTATACCAGAACAAAAAATTTAAGTACAGGTATTAGGCACAGGTTAAAAAGGATACTATGCACAAACTATAATAATTATGAATCAATACTTCTTTTGAATATACAGTTTAAATAATTTAAAGTTCTGAATTTAAAGTTTAAATAATTAGTGTTTTAGATCAATTTAAAACATCAAGAAATTTTTTTTTTAACATCTTTCCTATGCGCTGTGGAAAAGAATTCCTTTCTTATTTCTTCAGTAGTATGAGCCACAAAAATGGTGTTTCAAACTAGGATTCACCTTGTCCTCGAGAAACAACCTGAAGAGGCTTTGGATCTGGTTAAAAATATCCTAAGAGAACTAACTGCCGAGACAGGGGCCCTGTGCCTACCGAGTGGGCACGCCATGCCCCTTGGGGCTGGCTGTGCTGTGACTCCAGGGAAGCCCACACACCTACGGACCAGGGGTGGCTCAGAGGAAACAGGAAGTCCCAAACAGGAAGACCGGGGTTGAGGGGGGTGACAGAGACCCTGGCCGGTCAGAACCATTTCACACTTGACCCTACTTGCCGGAACTGTCTGGGAAACTAGCAAGGGTTTTCCTGGGTAGTGTTTTTCCATGGCAACAAATGAGTCACCTCATTAAATGATTCAAAAACATTCACTGTCTGTTGGTTTCATGAAACCGTTACACTATTTCAATGGGTAGGAAAATTTATGATTTCAAACTAAATTCTCTGTCACTGAAGATGTTTTTACAAACTGGTATCAGATCGTTGATGACAATGTCAATACCATATATTCATTCAATTGCTTTTTTTCCCTTCTACTCTTGCTTTTAGGCAAAATTTGGTTATCTAATTTTTACTACCCATCAATCATCTGTTTTGGACATCAACTGTCCATATTGGCTGCAAAATACACATGTGTACCAATACATGAAATAGGACTATGAAGTTGCATGTTGAATTGGGTTACACATGGACATGAGTTCTGTTACTTCGGAGCTATACAAAATGCGACCTATTTATACGCAACCACATGCATATAAAAACACATGTCTGAGGGCCGGCCAAGTGGCTCAGCTGGTTAAGAGCTTGCTCAAGAGTGCGAGCTCTGAGCAACAGGGTTGCTGGTTCGATTCCCACATGGGCCCCGGCTGAGCTGCCGCTGAGCTGCCAACATGGGGCAGGATGGCCCAGCTTAAAAAAATAAAATTAAATTAAATAAAAATTAAAAAAAAATATGTGTCTGTAACTCTGTAGAATCCCTGACTCACACACCATTACAAATATGTTCTTTTAACCCAACAGCTTTTAACTAGTCTATCCAATTAGGTAGGAAACACCGTACGATTGGGAGAGAAAACCTTTTAAAAACAAGTTTCCCAGCAAAAATTAAATTTTTAAAAAATATCTACTTTTAAAGCAGCAGTTAGAACCTTTGTTCTTGTAATAGGTAGATAATACTGTTATATCAAATTGTGGATTTAAATAAGTTTAATTTAACAGTTACTTATCTCTTCAAAAAATAGTACAGATTTCTGTGTTACTTAACGGCTTCTCCATTTTTCCAATTCCAAGGAATACAGAGGTCTCCATCTTGCATAACAGAGTAGAAATGTGAAACGCAGAGGTGCATCCCTTGGAGATAAGGCAGCGATTGTTCTAGAAGTCTCTTACAACAATCCACCATTTGTATACTAGAAACGCTGGGCTCCTTATAAAACTTTTCCAGGGAGAATTTCTTCGTTGAAGCCTGTATCAATTCATTTTCAATAACCTTTAATCTGTGATAGCAAAAATAAAAATAACATTGCCACAAGCAATTCAAAGAAAAGAAGATGTAACTGCATTTTTATATATCAGGGTTATATACCTTTCTATTCACAGCACTGAAAGTGGTAACCTCAAAGGCCAAATTATATGCTGAGGAGACGTGCGAGTGGTTATCATGCAGTGCCTGTTATTTCCACATGTATTTCTAAAAGTATTTGTTGAATCTTTTTTAGCAGGAAAAGGGTAAAAATAATTCAACATAATTTAAAAAGCTCTTATCCTGCCTCACCTCGCAGCTGTTAGCCACTGAAGAAAGCCCCCATGTAAGAGCTGTGAACTAGGTTATTACCAGCCTCCCAAGGGGTCGGGCACCACAGAGAGAGGACATTTTCTACCTGTCAGCCAGGCAGTGTGGCGAGATGGGGGATGCAAGTCCTATAGTCTTGAGGTCATGTGGGGTCTAGAAAGACAGGACCCAGATATTAGCTTAGAATAGTGGTGTTTAAACCGCTCAGCAAGCCGAGGGTCCTGCTGAGGTATTCAGAGGCCCCCGTGAGCATGGGTGGCCACTAGCTCCTTTCCTCTTTAGGGCAACTGCGAGCTTTTATCTTTTTCATAAATTCGGTTTCCACTTAAGAATCCACTTTATAAACAGATATGCAGCTAAAATGTGTATGAAAACCACTGTCCAAGGACACACTTCCTCTAAGGAAAGAAGGCAGTCTTAACCACTACCTAGGGAGCATAAGGCAGGTGACCGTCTCAGGGTAGGGAGAATAGGCTGAAGGAAAGGAGACGAGACCAGGAGGAAAAACTCTGGGCTCAGAGTTGGAGGTCTGCAGGGGGAGAAGGCGGTGTGACTAAAGGGAAGGTGTGCTGGGACCAGCACCCAAGTGTTTCCCTGTGTGTGTGGGGGTAGGGGTGGGGAGGGGGGTGTATGGGTGGGTACAGGGATGAGGGCTCTGGAGCCCGGAGCCAGGAAGCAGTAGGGAAATGTGGACAATGGATTAAGTCAATGACTATTTACTGACGGCCTCCTGCGTGCCAGGCACTGGTCCTGGCACTGGAGGACACAGACACAGCCTTTGGCCTCGTGAAGTCGGCCTCACCAGCTGAACCGCTGCCCACCCGGCGGCTCTAGGCCCTCGCGCCCTCCTCCCCTGACACGGCCGCCTCACCACCTCCCTCTCCTGCTGGCGCCTCTACCCCGACCTCCACGTCGGGGCTCCCTTCCCAGAGCGTCAGCCTTGGCTCTTCCCGCTCAACTCCACTCTGTGGCCCGGCGACCACTGACATTTGAGCACTCGGGTCTCCTAATAGACACGAATTCAGGGAGGGCAGACACCAGGACTTCACTTTCCCTAAGTGGCATCTTTCACAGCTTTGGACACAACGGTCACAGCAAACGGGGACGACACGGACAAATCCTCGGCAACCTAATCGCCCCAGGCAACATTTTAGAAAAACCACCTCTTTTGAATGTAATACCCTCCTTTCTTCATAGTCGATACAGAAAACATTATCAAGCAGGACCGGCACTGCTTAGGAACTAAAACAATACATTTTTTTTACTTAAAATTTCTTGTTTAATTAAAATGCAGATGAAGCTTGTTTTCTATAATTAGTTTTCAAAATTTTCAACAATTGCGATTCCTGGGAGTCAAACAGTAACTCATTTTTTAAATTTTTCTTTGTTGCCACCCTTTTCCACCTGGAGAACTTCTTTCTCATGTCATCTTTCATGCTCTGTGTTGACTTTTATATTAACAAGGCCTGCTTCTCAAATTGAAGTACATGGTCGTAATGTAATTTAGATTATTAGAAAACAGCCACAGCTAATCCCCGGCAGAACAATGTGGGGAATAAATAAAGGTGGAAAATCCACAAATCAGCGGGTTTCCTGAGTGAGACACAGCTTTTCTGCCCCAGATCTGTGAGCTCTGAACACCCGGCTTCCTAAAAGCCAGCCCGAGGGACAGGACGCTGCGGGGCCCCCGGCACTCACTCGTCTTTCCTCTTCATGTTCTCTCGGGCCTGCTGGGCTTTCGTGAGAATGAACCACTGCAGTTTCGCTGGATCGCAGAGGGTTGGGATGTTAAAATGGCCGAGTTCATGCAAGCTTGGAGCATATCTGTCGCTGTAATGAAACATACGTGAAAGAAAAAATCATTGATTCCCTCCACTCCTCACTCCACTCGCAAAGAAAATATTTTAGAAGTCTGATTAATGGAAAAGAAACTCATCAAGTAAATCCACCTTAAAAGTACAGCCAAATTGACTTAAAGTTGTGCTGTCCCCAAAGAGACACACTTCATCAGGGTGGCCACATACTGCCTAGTCCTGTGACCATCCTCATCTGTAAAATAGGGGTAGTAACTCATTTCATGGTGAGTGTGTGAGAGCGAAAGAGAGTGCATTAAAGCTCCAAGCACAGTGCCTGGAAAATACTGAATGCACAAAAAATGTGGGCTATTGATTTAAAATTAGTTTAATCCTATCAAGTTTTCCATAGCATTGACTTTGCCCCATTAGTGGCAATATACTTGAGATTTAATTCTTTAATCTTCTCATGTTGGCTTTTCTAATGTGTGAAAGATTGTTGCTAACAGAAGTGGTGACATTCTTTTCTTTAATTCCCAAGAATCACACACTGAAATACAAAACAGTTTAATCTTACACACACCCAGCTGAGTGAATGAATCCAAGTCATTCTCATTTTAGATAGTTACCTGTTAAGGATCATTTGTAAACCACGCAGACTTCGAGGGTGAAAAGGTATTCTGGTTTTCAATAGTCTTTTATGGAACACATCAAGAAGAGAGTAATATTCTTCAAGCGTCAATACTGGCTGTAGTTCTTCGATATAAACAACTTGTATGCCACCTAGAAGATAGCTTATTTGGTCTTCTAAAAGCATCAGCCTCCTCTGAAGGTCAAAATAACTTGGTAATCTTTCAAAAAGCTACAAGATTTTTTTAAAAAAGGAAAGAAATAGTTTTATGTTACGATAATAGCTCAATTTTAGGATTCCAATAAATGGTATTGAGAAATTTTAATAAGAAAATTATTTCCTAGAAGGAAAGTTCAAGTAAACGATAGAGACTTAATATAATTCTGGAAATATTAATATTCAAAACAAGCCACTGTAAATCTGAGGAATTTTTAGGTAGGAACTGAAGAGATTGCAGAAAAAAAGAAACATATTCCAAATAAAAACAAGTCCTAGGTACTAACGGTTCAGATATTTAGGTAATTATTTAGATAATTATTCAAATTCGTTTAGAATAATTAATAGTAATAAAGAAGGGTTTTAGAAATAAAGTATATGTATTTCAAGTCCAAGTCTATTTCTTCAGAATTTAATTCATCTAAATTAAATTAAATGCAATAAACATTACTGAGCACCTACCACGTACTTAAGCACTAAACTGGGAACCTGGAGTGTCTGGATTATGAGTTGGTCCCTGGGGCTCAGTCGGGGTACAAAGAAAGAAACTAAAAATCATAATTCAGTAACTAGGTGCCATGTCAGGGTGAATGAATAGAGAGAGGTGGGTCAAGCCAAAGCTCCTATGGAAGCCTACTGTCACCGATCTGAAAAGATAAAAGGGATGTAGAAAAGGTTAGATGCGTGCGTAATGTCTTAGGGGGAGAAAAACGATGTGCAGACATGGAGGCAGAATCGGGATGGCATGTTGACAAGCGGGCAGTGTGCTGTGGCTGGAGCGTGGCTTGCCTGTCAGTGAGTGGAAAGAGAAGAGCAGGTGGGCAGGTGGGCCCAGGTCAGGGACGGCCCAGGTGCGTTACTTGAGGACTTAGATTTTACACAGAAAGCCGCGGCCATACAACTTGCAGAGGAGTTGAAAGCCGTCTACATCTTTGCTGTAATAAAAGCAGTGGAAGTATAAAAATTCTACAAATGATGGATAATGTACTCCTAACACTTTGTGAAAAATAATTTTACTATTTACGTTTAAAATTTTTCTCTCGATGGGTTTTTCTTGTATAAATGGTTACTCCATTTAAAAAACTTTTTGAGATAATTATAGATTCATACCATATTTCATCCAGCTTCTCCAATGCTAACATCTTGCAAAACTAGAGTACACCATGCAAGCAGGAAACTGACACTGACATAACCCACTAAGCTTATTCAGATTTCACCTGGTTTACTCGTACTCATTTGTGTGTGTGTATTTAATTGTACGCAATTTTATCCCATGTGGAGACTCATGTGACACAACCACAGTCAAGACACAGACGAATTCCATCCCAAGGACCCCTGTGCTCCACTTCCACGTCAGAGACACCCCTGCTTCCCCTGGCAGCTGCTAACCTGTTCTTTCTGTAATTTTATTACTTTATGAATGTTATATAAATGGAATCAGACAGTGTGCAATCTTTGAGGCAGACTTTTTTTTTTTTTTTAAAGATTTTTTTTTTAAATTGGGGTATTGGGGGGAAGGGAACAGTGCTGGGGAATTGGGGGAAAGGGAACAGACAAGTTGCTGTTGTTTTGTTCTTCAGTCTAGTTGTGGAGAACGTTGCTTCACTGGCCTAAGTTGGCACCATCATTGCGCTCTTCCCGGGTGAGGCAGATCAGTCGCCGGCTTCTGGACGGCCGCTCACTGCGGCTGCTGGCTGCTCACGCTGGCTGCTCACGCTGGCTGCTGGCTACACACGGTAGCCCATGGCAACCCACTGCATCAGGGGCTGCAGCCTACGCCGTCGCAGGCGACTCATGGCAACCCAGCTCCAGGTTGAGCTGTTGTTCAGCATCTTAGCTGTAGAGGGCAGTGTCACTGGCCCTCATATGTGGGATCCGAACCGGGGCCCTCTGGCGTCCCAAGCCAGTTCTTAACCATCGCGCCACTCGGCCGGCCCGAGGCAGACTTTTTTCACTCAGCACAACGGCCTTAGGACCTGCCCACGTGGGGGCGTGCATCAGCATTTCACTCCTTCTTACTGCCCAGTGGCCCGTTATATGGATGTGTCAGTTTGTTTAACCATTTGAACACGGACGGGCATTAGGGTCTTTTTGTAGTTTTGGGCTATGATGAACATTTGGGTACAGGTTTTGTGTGAACATAATTTTTCATTTCTCTAGTATAAATGCCCAAGAGTGCCACAGCTGGGCCCTATGGAAGCACGTTTCATATTGTAAGCAATGGCCAGACCCTTTTCCAGGGTGCGTGTACCATTTCACACTCCCAACGGCAGTGGATGGCTGGTCCACATCTTCCCCAGCATCTGGTGGTGTCATTATTTTTCACGTTAGCCATTCTGATAGGTGTGTAGTGATGTCTCATTGCAGATTTAATGTATATTTCCTTATGGCTAATCATCTGAACATCTTTGCATGTGCTTATCTGTCACCTGTATGTCTTCCTCTGTGACATGTCTGTTCATGCCTTTTGCCCGCTTTCTGGTTGGATGTTTGTTTTTTTACAGTTGGGTTTTGAGAGTTCTTTATGTACGTAGATAAAAGATGTTGTTAGATATGTGGTTTTTCTACCAAATATTTGATTTGCACAGATACTTCACCAAACAATGTGGCCATATGTGGATGGCCAATAAAAACACAGAAAGATGTTTATCATCATTCATCATTAGAGAAATGCAAATGAACCCACGATGAGCTAGTACCAACACTTATTAGAATGGCAAAATTAAAAAGATGACCATGGTAAGTGTTAGCATTTTCTTAAAAAGTGAAAATACCCTAACATATGCAGGCATTCCACTTAGGTATTTACCCAAGAGAAAAGAAATATATGTCCATACAAATGTTTGTAAATAGATAATGTTCATAGCAGCTTTATTTCCAATAGTCAAAAACTGACACAACCCAATGTCTGTCAATAGGTGACTATTGGAAAAACAAACTGTGGTACATCCATATGATGGAATACTACATGGCAATAAAAAGGAATACTTTTCTTGATACATGCAACAGCATGGATGAATCTCAAAATAGTTATGCTAAGTGAAAGCAATCAGACACCCTCCCCTCAAAAAAGCACATACTCTGTGACTGCAATTATATAAAACTATGTAATTATATATAGAAATATAAATGAATCTATAGTGACAGAAAGCCGATCAGTAGTTGGATGGGATGGAGTGCTAGGATGGAAGAAAGGGTTGACAAAGGGACATGAATGTACTTTTGTGGGTGATGGATATGTTCACTATCTTGAAATGTGGTACTGATTTCACAGATATTCACATATGTCAAATCTCATCAAATTATACACACTAAACATGTACAGTTTATGGTACGTCAATTATACCACAGTAAATCTGTTAAAACCAAAACAACAGAATGCAGGCCTTTAAGCTATGCTTCAGAAAAGACTATGAAATTTCCAAGTAAAAACTGACTTAAAAATCCGTCTTTTAAGTACTTTAACTACATGATATTAAGCATCTAATCTGAAAAGAGATATAACTCTGACCAAAACAAACTTTTTCTTTCTTTTTTTTAGCTGAGCCATCCTGCCACCTGTTGGCAGCTCAGCTTGGGCCCATGTGGGAATTGTACCGGTGACCCTGTTGCTCAGAGCTCGCACTCTTGAGTGAGCTTTTAACAACTGAGCCACTTGGCCGGCCCTTAAAAATATTTTTTTTAGTCCACTGACATAATAGCATAGTTTGAAATAAAAGTATGTCAAAGACAAATAGAAATTTTTCTTACCTTTGTCCAGTGATGATGGACATCCATTGTTCCCAGCATGACATGACCCACTGCACTCATCCCGGAACGGTCTGTAAATATTATTGTACACCCTGACGATAAAACACAAACCCTTTGGTGGCTGTCTAGAAATGCGGCATTCTTTTAGCATTGTGCACATAATTACTTAAACTTAGTGTATACATTCAGGATTAAATTCAGCAGATGCTTAAAGGCTAATTTTATGTCGCTGATTTATTCAGAGGCACAGATTTAAAAATTCAGCGGTGATCAAGTCACACCAGCAAAGACTTTCAATGTTTAGTTTCCCTCTGCAACTTACAGACGTGTATAGCAGCTACATAATACTTTAAAAGAAAATGGAAATGTTTGTACCTTTTGCATTTTTAAGTGTTTCCAAGTTCTGCTGTGCTAAGCGGCCTAAACTATGCAGCTGGCTACAGCGATGGGCGACACCCCAGCTCCTCTGCCACCTAGGCCAACAGAGCACACAGGCCCATTAGCACCGCACCCCTGGAGGAGGAGGCAACATTCACCCCCAGCTGCTGCCCTCCAGTGGAAGCCAGCGAGTTTCTTTCTCAAGTACGCACACAACCAGCTCATTTTTCAAGAAGCAACCAAATGGAAACTGAATTGTTGACCCGAGAATAAAAATATTACTACTAATGCTTGGGTAATCCAAAGTCTGAAAACAAGCAAATACACTATGTTGTTTCTATGTTAAAATAAGAGGACGACATGGGATAGGCTTTGAAAGAAATCCTTTCCCTCTCCACATTGTTCAGTGGTGAAGACTTTGTTTCAGATTTAAGTTCCAATTAGGAATTCGTTAGGTTTATCAGACCCTTTTTATCTTACTATAGAAAAAGTGATTTTTATGTTACCATGTCATCTGCTCATTTTATAAGTAAACATTAGATCTTAGTGACCACATGGAACCTGGTGTTCCCATGATGTCCCAGAGGCACTGCTGTGTAAAATGTAAAGGGCACTGGTCTGGAGTGGTTATCAGAATACCCACCTTTGAATCTAATTCTGTGATTTATTAGCTCTATGACCTTGAACAACTTGTTTCTAGCCTTCCTAAGGTTTCTCTTTTGTACATGCAAACTGGGGAAATTTCCTACTGCACAGGCAGTATAACCAAAGGAGATGATATAGAGAAGGAGTAAGGCCCTCCAAACAAGCTCTTGAAAAACTCAGGTTCCTTCTTTCATCCACACACAGATTCTGATGAATGCCATTTCTGATAAAATGAAATAGATTTAAATTTTTTCCTTTTAACCCACAATTGGAAAACTAATGTATAATTTAAAAGAATTAACTGTGATAAAGCCACTAAATACTGTTCTGATTAAGACATGGTCTTTCATCTAGGCTGTTTAGCATTAGAAACAATGTCATTAGTCACAATGTTTCCATTTGTTGGAGATTTGGCTAATTTTCCAGTAAGCAGTCATGTCCATGGTCCTCAAACATTTTGGTCTCAGAAGCCCGACTGCACGCTCAAAAACTGAGAACCCCAAGGAGTCTTTGTTTATGTGGGTTATATTTATTAATATTTACCACAGTAATAATTAAAGCTGAGAAATTTCTCTAAGATATTATAAAATAATGTTTATTTCTTTTTATGTTTTTTTCATTTTATTAATCCCAGTTGGTTATGACAGATCTTTTAAAATTTGTACTAAAAAAAGTTATAGTCACATGTTTTAATTTATTTTATAAACTTTAAAAAAGAAAGGATCTTATTCTTTTGTTTCTACTTAGTAAAGTCTACGTTACTAGACTCTGGCATTGGAAGGATCTCCTATAATCAAAGTTTGGCCTCAAAACTACTATGTGATGATAACAGAATGGCTATCAGCACAAACCCTAACATGCCACCACTCCAAGCCTAAACACTTTCCTTTAAAATCTGAATTATCTTAGACAACTCCGATTTGAATGACCAAGAACAGAATTTATAAACACTATCTGTACTCTGCAAGCACAGGAAAAGGTGCTATTATGGTGCCCAAATAGTCATTTGGTTCAGTATAAGAGAAGTCCTGAGAATGAGGGTTGAGAACAACAAAACACGCTACAGTAACCCGTAACAGAAATGTTTCAGCACGAGACTGGGTGACAATTTTTCAGGGTTATTGTAATGGGAGTCCTGTGGCTAAATCACATGACCCCTTCCTTTCCGTTCCTTACAGTTTTAACAGATGTTAAGTCTACTTTTATACTAAACTTCAGCATGTTATCTTTTAGATAACTGCTATTTCCAAGTTTATGAAAACTTGAAGTCATGCTATAGAACATAGAACCAAGACTATGACATCTCCCTTCTGCTTTTTAAACTTGAATATCAGTTTTGATGGGGGAATAATTATTTTTTTATATATTATGTGTATATGGTAAAGGAGATTTTTCTTACAAACTCATTATGTAAAAAAGTTCTATTATGCTAAAAATGTATCAGTATCTACAGCATACTTCACTACTTTAAACAACAAATTGATAAGTTTTTGTATATAGACATTTCATTACTTTCATAAAAAGGTAATTGAAGAATATTTCATTATCCAGATAATTAAAGATGCAAATATTTAACTGCTGGAAAACTTTACCAATAGGTAACACATGTTTAAATAATCTCTAAATTAGGTTCTCTCTTTATTACCTGATATCTGAGAGCTGCAACTGATGAGACAGTTCATCTTTTAAACGATCTAGTTCTTGTCTAAGTGGCAAACTGTTCTCCAGCTTTTTAATAGCACTTTTCCCATTGGTATCTAACCAGGATCTAGAAAGAAAAAAACCCAAAGATATACACATTCTAATACTAATTATAATGCACACATTTCTACTATTAAAAGACATATGCATTACCTTAAAGCGGCCCCAATGTTAAACTGAGTTTCCAATCAAGTCTTTACCAAATTATAAGTAAAGAACAGAGAAGGGGAGAGGTGAACGTAGACTGAAGTCGTTGAGATGAGACCTGAGCTGGGCATTTGGTTGGGTGGAAAAAAATGGAGGCGGGAAGGAGCAGCGGGGTCATACATGGCCAACCTGCAAGGAGCAGATGCTTTTGGAGACTTTGTGGTAAAAAGACTAGGTTGGTAAGGTCTGACCAGTGCAGGGGCTTGGGTAGAGAGATGAGGAAACAAACAATGAGAGTTATGGGTACTAACAACCAAGATTCAAGTAAAGGAAGAAACTGGAGTCTTCCCAGCTAAAACCCACAAAGTAACCGTTGCAAGTTCCTTACTCACGATGCACTGCCTTTTAAATGTCACCAGTACCATTAGATGGCACTTCATTGATGGCAACCCATGGTAAGAAATATTTTAAATGGTGACTCAGTATACACACACATACACACACAGACATGTTTATATATAACTAAAACAAGTATTTTGAGAAGCAGTACTTAAACTTACCAACAATATATACAGAGGATGCCAAAAAAATGTATACACATTTTAAGAAAGGAAAAAAATGTATTAAAATTGTAATACTCAATATATACTAACAAAAGATGAATACAAGTCATGTGTATATAGTTTTTGGGCATCCCTGGTATTTAAAAAAATTTAAAGAGGAACAAAACAAAACAACTTTGATAGTCCCATGTCAATAAATTGTGTTATTTGAAAAACAATGACTTAGCCTATAAACAAGAGGAATAACAAATAGTAAATAAATGCATGTACTACTGTTGTTATATTTTCTCTTTTTAACTTTACGTCCTGAGATATCAGAAATATCTTTATCTGCTTTTAAGAGTAAATTTTGATCAGGTGAATGCAATTGATAAATTAGGTACAGATCAGTTTGATATAAATTTGCAAAATTACTTGTAATACTACTTCTGACACTGCATAATTCCGCATGTGTTCCTTATGATTCCTCCTCTGTAAACTACATGTAAAATAAAGATGATTAAATAATACAGGAATAAAAATAAAAACTTAAACTGTATACAGTCAAAATGATCATGGTGGCTAACAAGTTTTGGCTGAGTTATAGGTACCCTAAATCTCCTTACTAGGCAGCACTCAACCCATATGATTTGAAAGCTCTCAAATGGTTTAACAATTCTATAATCATCTGTAATTATTAATTACTAATTTGTGATTAATAAATAATTAAAAATTAAACAAAATTAATAATTGAAACAAGAAGTTGTTTCAATTCTGGCTTTCATGATAAAAGCTCCTGGAATCCTTACTGGGAAAAACAAAACAAAACGTTGAACAAAGCTTCAGCAGAGCTTCCTTCAGAGTGGGTGACATCTATGTTTGGGGAAAGGTCAAGGCTGGTCTACAGGGGCTCCGGGCCTATGTGAATGTGCTAGAATAGGGAAACTGGGTTAAGTTAGGGAAATAAAAGATATGAAACCTTTCCACTAGTCCAGGTGTCATCACTCCAGCATCAGCACCCTAAGGCATGCTGGTGAAGGCAACACAGAGGTTTTGCAGCATTTAGTCTACATTGCAATTCACTCTACAGGCCTGAAGAGCAGTACTCCCTTCCTGGCCTTTCCTCAGTGCTGTGTTGCCCTCTTCTGTCCTCCCAGCCCAGGCCTTCTGGTCTACCAGGACCCTTTCTTAGCTAATCGCACATTCCATGAGGTGTGATCATCTGGTTCAGGTAAGTCACTAAGATATCAATGCTCAAGAACTATAACCCAAAGGCGTCCAATATAAGCATTAAAAACTAAACAAAACAGAATCTCCAACTGAAATATTTTAGAAGGGAGGTATTGAGTAGAAAGATTTAAGGGGATACCAGTCAATTCTCAGTATTCTCTAGCCCAAGAAAAATATGTGTAAGTGAAAGATATGAAAATAGCATTATACTAAGAACCACCCACAACCTTATTCCAAGTCTTTCAGATGCTGTATGTCTCATTTAGAATTTGATATTAATTTTAAATCACAGTTTTAAAGAGAAAACAATATCTGTTATAAACAAGGCTAAAACTACAGTAATGGTGTAACACTGTTAATTTCACTTGATGAAGCTAAGAAAAGAAAGGTTCTATCTGGCTAATAATGGGTTTTCTCCAATATCTGACAAGATAAATAGCTATTGACAACTGGCTCAGATAATAAAGATCAATAAGTTAGAAAGTTAAACTTCCGCTGACTTCAATTTCTAAAACAGTGGTCTATTTAATTTATGTTATTATGCTCACTCTCTAGTATAATGTACAATATGATGTCTGCAAGTCTTCTTAAAACAATTTTCCCCAACATTATAAAAAGTTTCAAATATATAGCAAAGTTAAAAAAATTGTGTATTTTACAATGTTGTTGTACAATTAGGAAAGCCTACTTTTATTAATGACTGAGAAATTTTATCGGAGGAACATACAAATAAAGAACTTATAAACTCATCTTGGACAAAGAACCCAGTTGAATACCACTGATCTTGTTGAACTGTCTTTTCCTAGTTGCAATCTATTTTCATTAGTTTGCCAGCTGGCTAACTCTGAGTTCCGGGTCCTTGGGACAATATTTTCCCAATGGCTGCACACCCAGTTTCAGACCAAAACTGTACCCTACACAACACTCAACTGAACCACAGACTGCTCCTCTGAATTTTTTTTTTTAATTTACTTTAAAAAAAAAAAAGATTTTATTGGGGAATTGGGGGAGGGGAACAGCGTTGGGGAATCGGGGAAGGGGAACAGATAAGTTGCTGTCCTTTTGTTCTTCAGTCTAGTTGTGGAGGACGTCGCTTCACTGGCCCATGTTGGTATTATCATTGTGCTCTTCCCGGGTGAGGCAGTCGCTCGCCGGCCATTGGACAGCCGCTCACAGCGGCTCACGAAAGCTCACACCTGCTGCTGGCCAGCCCCACTGCAGCCTATGTTGTTGCCAGTGACTCACGGCAGCCCAGCTCCAGGTCAAGCTGTTGTTCACCATCTTAGCTGTAGAGGGTGCAGCGTCACTGGCCCTCATGTGGGATCTGAACCCCGGCCCTGTTGCTCAGAGCTGGTGTCCCAAGCCAACTCCTAACCAAGGCGCCACTCGGCCAGCCCTGAGTTTCTTTAATACGTCATTCTTAGCTTGAGTCAAGATCCAACAATTTTTGCTTCTTTGCCTTGACTTATGCAATACCACTTTTTCCCCTATACCCTTTAGACCAAGCATTCCCAGCCTTTTGTTCACCTGTACACATTGCGAGATGATTCCAGGAATAGGGCTTATGGGTATACACAGACGTCCCAGTGGGTGCGAGGCTGAGAACCTCTCTTAGCTCATGCTCACAGCAACCTAACTCGCACTGTAGCCTCTGCGTGGAATTTACCTTCAATCACCTCTTCTGTTTTTCTAAACTACTTCCTAAAATCATCAATCTCTATCTCACCATGACTGTTCTTCCCTTTTTTTACCCCTACTCCCTACAGTCTCATTACTTGTGCTCTATCATTAAATTATCATCCCCAAAGCCACACTTTCCTCTTGGTTTTGTTTACAGAAGAGAATCTGAACAATAAAATCCACATATTTAGGGAGGACTTATCTGTTAGTTACACATATAGACATAGCAGACATGGACCATAACCACAGACACACACACACACACACACACACACACACACACACACACGCCTTCAGATGGATGCTTGTCTCCCTTTCGGTACTGGACTCTGTTACTTTCCCGTTGTCTCCAGCCTTATTTGGGATCTAGCAAGATACCCAGGGGGAGGAATTCCTGAGTTAGTATAGGTAATCCACAAAGCAACTGCTGTGCCCGTGGTTAATTAAGGATAATTTACCATGTTGCAATGAGTGAGAATCCTTTGGTAAGCCACACAGACTCTAGGTATAACCACAGAGACAGAATGTGGCTGGTCTTAACGGAGTCCAGTGATGACTTCATCAAAATTCGACATTAACCGTGACTTACAAACAAGACAAATGATAGAGACATGTTTTGTACATGGTTTTTATAATTGAAAATTATTTTTTTTCTCATGGTACTTCTAAATGTTATCTGTTCCAGATGGTATTTCTAAATATTGTCTCCATGTATTTTTATTATGCATGGATTATTAAACTAAAGGCCAGCATTACAGAGCTCTCGAAAGAAACTGAAAATGCTTAACACATGAAGACACTTAACATACTTTTGTAGTCTAGATGTATCCTTTCTCCATATACCAGGGTTAACTTGAGGAGGAGAATTTAAAAAATGTAAACAAAACAAAAATCTCCTGCATGCGTATGGTATCAAAAGATAAAAAATGTAAAACAATTGGAAGTATTCTGGCAACTTTAAAAAACATGAAATATCTTTTTCATAATGGTCCCTGGGTTAACTATATAGATAGGATTACTTTTCCTGAGAAATTAGACTTTAACTCTAAACACTAACTACAAATAAGTTTAGTTAAATAAAAACTTGTACATACGTTAGGGTTGTTTCCATTCTCAAGACTTGTTCAAGATGTTCATCTGGGTCCTTGAATCCAGTAAAGGAGTAATAAGACTTGTCCCATTTGATGGGCCTGTCAGTTGTCCTTTTTGTCTCTTTGGGAGGCTGAGAATGCACACTGCTATTCAAGCTTTGGATATGTTCAATTGATAAACTGCAGGAGTTGAGAATATATAATACTGTGCTTAGCAGATCTCTGGTGTGCAAAGTAAATTTGACTGCTCGAAATCCTAGAGAATATAATTCCCCCAAACAATGAATACAGGTGATTATTTGCTTCACTTAAAAATAATTTCTTATACAAAATTTATAAAATCAAAATCTTTTCAAACATTCCATTACTGATTAAAATATATCTGATTGGCAAATCATCTGTTAATGGAACACTACTTCCCTTTTCCAAATCTAAACCAACAGTATCTTTACCTTCATGAATTCCTTGAATTGTCAGGTCCCTTTTCTAGTTTGGCACCAGAGGCCACACCCATTGCAGCCCAAGAAGGGGACTTAGACTATTTTCAATGTTGCCCATAAAGTTGGTCTCTACAGTCTGAGAGATGAAAGAACTCTCCTATGAGCAAGTGTCCATCAAAGACAGTTTCCAGCACTAAGATGACGGTGATTGAAGGAGAGGGGAGGCTGCCTGTGACAGTGGTTCAGAAGAGGGGAGGAGCCAGACAATCTACTCTCAGTGGAGGCAGAAACCCATCTAGAATTTTCTCTGTGATTGTCTACCCAACTAGCTAGTAACTCAGTATTTTCAAAAGTGATTTAAAATTCCCTAATTGTTTAAAAGTTAGTGTTTCACAGTCTAATTTTCATACTGAGGAGTCACTGGGTTAAAGTTAGTAATCTAACTTAAGCCATCAATAGGAAATCCAGTTTGTCCCCCCCACCTTTATTTGGTGTTAAGTGTGGTTCTAGTTGACTTTACATAACTTTTCAGTCAACACTCCTACTAACTGTGCCATTACTAATCTCTCTTTTCAAATGTGAAGAAATAGACTAAAGGAGGTTAAGAAGCTAAGTACTTTCTCCATTACAACCCGCTGACTTTTTTCTTTCTTTTTAAAAAAAAATATTTTAAATTGATTTTGAAAATTATACAAGCATATATATATGTGTGTGTGTGTGTGTGTGTGTGTGTACATCTTCATTGTAAAATTAGATATGTACAGTAAAAATAAAAGTCTGTTAACAGGCACACAACCTCACACCTTTACTAGACATAACCATTAACAGGTATATATGCTTTTAGTCTAATATGGTAGTTACCGTATTCCCCCATGTATAAGACGCAACCTATTTCGAAAAATTTGGGGTCTAAAAACTGGGTGCGTATTATACAGTGGTTGTATTTTTTACTTGCATTTCCCACTTGTTTTTGCACTCATACAACCACTGTATAAGACGCACCCAGTTTTTAGACCCCAAAGTTTTCAAAAAAGGGTGAGTTTATACATGGGGAAATACGGGGTACTATCTATATATGGCTACTAAAATTAAATAAAAATTTAAAATTTAGTTCCTGGTAGCACTAGCCACATCTCAAGTGCTCAGTGGCCATATGGGGCTAGTGCCTGCTATATTAGTGCGGATATAGAATAATTTATATCATTGCAGAAAGTTCTCTCAGACAGCACTGCTCTAGACCTTTTCTATGTGCCTGTGTGTATGCATATTACCCACAGTTTGAATTGTTTCTTTTTAATATGTAAATGGTATCATTCTGGGTACATTACTTTGAACTTGCTTTTATCATTTAGCCTTGGTGACCCTTCCATATCTGTATGTATAGATCACCCTCATTCTTTTTAGTAGCTAGATCCTAGTCCAGATAATGACGGTAGCAACATTTATTTAACACTTCTGAAATTGGTAGACATAAAAGTTGTATTTAATTTTTCACACTGCATACAAGGCTGAAATGTATTTTCTGTCTTTGCCTATGATGACAGATACCCCAGTTTAAATTATTCTCAGGGGTACATATTCTCTTGCCATGTACACCGAAAGAATCTAGAACATGAAAACTGAGAAAGATTTTTTTAAGTTGAATCATTTGAAGGTAAAATGAGAAATATTGGCATCCTAGTCAGTGAAAGAGTAAAGGAAAATCTAAAATTCCTGCACTTAAGGTTGGGAAGAAATAGTTTATGCTGAGAAGAGCTAAGTCAAGGAATAAATCTCAGTTTCTATCTTATCGATTCCATTAATTATTTAATCCACTGTCAGGGCTGCTATATAGTAAGAAATGCCTGTACCAGGCTGCATATTTCCTTTACTGGAAAATTGTACCTAATTAATTTAGTTTGCATTTGCTTACCGAAGCTAAAAGTTCTAGTATGGTTATTGACTATTTGTATGTATTATTTCCTGAACTGTCTAGTCATTTCTTTGCCCGTTTTGTAACAGAGCTACTCTGAGTTTTCTTTCTGATTTCTAAGAACTCTTTATATATTAACATTGTTTTTGGTCATTTAAGCTGTATGTTTTCTACCATTTCTAGTTCATTTTTTTCTATAATCTATTTTTGTTTAATGAATGGTTCGAAGTTACCCATTAACTGAAAGCAGAGGATTTTTGTCTTTACTCAGCCATAGCTGACTATAATTATTACATTTTAGTAGCAATGCACAGAAAACTTAGTGAATCTTTAAGTTGTTTTAAAATTTATTCTAATAACAAAGTATATTTTCTCACAGACCACCAAAAAGATGTTTAGGCTTTAATTTGATTTAGGCCTTTAATTTTGGTAATGAATATCACTAACAAACATTTTACCTTACTACCACCTTAATTATCAATAAGAAGCTGATTAATGATTTTTAGTGTTCTAAAATTAAAACCTTAAAAAAATACTTGATCTGAATTTTATAATTAGATAAAAATGTTAAAGCCATAAAAATGTTTTAAATCTGTCAGAGTGTCAACCTGTGTCATAAAGGCAAAGGCAAAAATAATAACAACACTTTTAAAGAACTGATAGATAATGTGGTATATAAGTCAAAACAACAGACTAGGAATAAGGAGATATTATTTTTAGTACCAGCTCTGTCTCTAATTTGCTGTGTGAAACTTTCTAAATTTCCCTCTATTTGTTCCTTCCCTAACGAATAAATTTGGTTCATTCTTTTTTTGGTTTTGGCAGTTTTTTTTAAAAAAATTAGTTTCAGGTGTACAAAGTAATGCAATAATTATACTTTAGGTTCATTCTTTAACTCCATGTATATTCAATATTTAAGACAAATTCAGCTGATGGTGGTAGTGGAAGTAGCAGCTGTAGCTGCAGAAATGAGCTTGACTCTCTCAAACATGTAAAAATAGAAGCAGACTGGTGACACTTTTATTTTAAAAATTGTAAAGGATGTAATTTGCCTTTACAAATCCATCTGTCATGGAGAAATAAGGAAATTATGCTTAAGCATGATGCTTTTTCAATTCCTAGCCTAACCTTGACCCTGAGTACTAGGAACATATATCTATTAAAAATATTTATGACTCTCTGGTCTGACAACAGCAAAGACTGTACCTCTCTTGCTTATGAGACTCTCATGGCTAAGAACAGCACATTCAAAATGATTATTTATACTTTTGAACAGAACTGTGTCATTTAGAGTGATAAACATAATTATTTATTATTATTATTATTATTATTATTATTATTATTTACAGCATTCTTCAGTAGAGCTGTCCCTCCACAATAGGACTCTAAGTTGATTTTTTGTCTCTGAATACTGAAGAACAGAGTCTATTTTTTAAAAAAATCCAAATCAGAGGTAAATGGAGAAGCAGCCAAGGAAAGGAACTTGGGATTCCTGATCTCCCATGTTCAATCATGGGAGAATAAAAGATGAGGGGGAAACAGACTATTAAATGCCCATCCCTGGACAGACTGGGTGGGACGCTGTCTTCAACATAAAGATCCCGTTGCAGTACCTTTTAGATCAAGCCCCTCCTCACTCCATCCAAGGTCGTGAGAGCCTTGTGAGAGCTGGGTATAAGATAGGGACCTTCAATGGAGTGCTTCGGTACTCACGCACAGTACTTCACCTCTTTCGTTTTAATAGTGAAGACAAAGTTAAGGTCACACAGCCAATCAGTGGCAGAGGTAGAAACAGATTCTAGGTCTCAAAAGACCTATCAAATATTGAGTTTCATAATAGTTTGTTTAAAAAAAATTATAGTGTATTTTCTAATTATTTTAGTTTTAACACACAGAAAGCTCTTAGTAAATCTCTAAATTGTTTTAAAGTTCATTCTAAACATAAAGTTATTTCCCCAAGAATCACCAAAAGGGTATATAGAGAAATAACAGAACCGTATTTGCCCCTAATTTTAAGTATTATTGGATTGTGGCTAAAGCAGTGACAAAGGACCAAACAGAAGGTTGTATATTATGATTGAATAGATTTAAGAAACATGAGGTTGGAGTTAAAAGACCTGAGTTCAAGACCCTTATTCTATCTCAACGGTCCTGGGAAAGTCACTGGACTAAGTTACAATACATATGGGCAAATACTACCTACTTCATAGGCTACTTTGAGGACTAAATAAAAGAATGTAAGCTGTACTTTTAAAAAATATAAGTTATAGACATGTTTAACACTTAAAACAGTACTGAACAGGAAGGAGACAAAAAGGAACACTTAGTTTTATAGATTAACAAGTTTAAACATAAAAAAATGGTTTGTTTAAACACATGCAGCCAGGAATAAAATCTAATTCTAGGAAAATAAATCAATTAAATGAAATTTTTTTATGAGCAAGACTTCAATCTAAAGATATGCTGGCAATGTCAGACTGAATGAATCTATTTAACATGAAGCTTGCAAAGGACACACTAGAAATAAGAAAACGTACCGAAAGTACTAAAGGGTTCCTGGCCATCAGAAGAATTCTGGTCTGTTTCTCTTACATAAAATGTAAGCTGAGTGGGTTTCAAAGACTTGAAGCCTGGTTTCTGGAGGTTTTCTAAGTAGACGCTTAATCTCTGAAGAGAATTTTCATTGACTTCCTGAAAAAAAATATTAAGGTGCATTTACACACAGAATAAAACAAGGAAACAGAAATTATATCCTGAACTTCTTGACACACACTGAGGGCATTAAATAATTTAGTATTAAAAAATGTTGTGATTTCATAGCATTGGTAGAGAAGGGAAAACATTCACCTCCTACTAGGTTTAATTTTTCCATACATATTGGGTTTAAAAATGTTAAATTATTAAATATTAAATTAAATTATACTAATTTATTATATCCCTAAGGTAATAGATATTTTTCTGTTGATTCAATTTATTTACTAATTACTTAGAAAGGATCTGACTTTGAATAGCCAACATCCATTAAATATCATAATTAGAATATTTTCTTAAAGCAAAGAAGCAAAATTGATTTTCTACTGTACGTAGAAAAAAGTAACAGAATAGTGCTCTAATTTTCAAGAATTTTAAATTCTTTTTCATATTAAACTGGGTGTCAATGTTAAGGAAGATAGAAGGAACCAAAGAAATAATTCCAAAGTATTTGGCTTTGTAATACATGATCTAATGTTAAAAATATTGGCCTTCCTAACTAAATTTATCGGAAGTTTCACATCAGTTTGCATTCCTGAGCACACGCTCAATGATGGTGCAGGGAGCTAGATCAGCAGGATGCAGTATACGGGACAACCACTGGGGCTCTGGAAAACCATTCTTGCATCATCCTTATAAAAAGAACTGATCATGGGAACAGAGGCCTTACATTTTCTTTTGAACCTTCAATTTTACTCTAAAAACTAGCACAGAAAACACAATTACTAATACGCTAAAGAGTTTACATGATAGTTTTATTGCATGTATAAAAAATGACAGATTTCGTAAAAAACAATATATTTTCGGTATTCAGTGTCTATATTTCAAATTATTGGGTTGTCAGAAAAGTCATGACATATTTTTTCTATGTTTTTCGTTGCAAAAATGCGTCACGACTTTTCCGACAACCCAGTAGTTCAAAGCACTGATTATATCATTCCCACAGAACAATGCAAATGTAAAGAACTCTCTGTATTATCTGGTATCAAGGGTAAATAAACTAAACAGAAATGCAGACTAACGGTTAGAAAGATAAAATGTTTACCCTTTCTCTGGGGTGCTGTCCAAAGAAATCTGGATGTACTGCAAAATAGAACGGCCTCAAGGCATTGACAGCTTCAGCTCCTGAAAAGGCTCTTGAGTAGAGAAACCAGTGTGGAAATACCTTCTCTAGACATAACCTTTTAAAAAGATGTGGATTTATTATTCGTTAAGGCACTGACATCCACGCAAATCCCCAGTGTCTACAATGAAAGCAACATTAAAATTACTGTATATGAAAAATACCACAGAAACGAGATCGAAACCAAAATGCAAAACTTTGTGGTTTTTCTGAAATCTACAAAGTTTTCACAAGTAGTGAGTGCCACATAGTTTCTAAAAACAGTGGATATAAATTCCTCTGATACAATGAGAAATAATATTAAATAAAGCCTACTTGGAAATGTTAACTGGCTTCATGGCAAATGCTGACAATTTTCTATATCATTCTTCAGATTAAAAAACCCCTCAATATCCAACAGTGTAATCTTTTTATAAGAAAAAATATTTTGAGAATTATAATGCTTAAAAAGAAGATATGTATGTCTCTCAGTTCATTTCCTCATTATTAGCGTGCTAATATTATTCTAGTTGGATAACTTAACATTTCATTTTTCAATTTTGGCATAACACACCTGAGAGTGTTTTTAGAAAGTACAGTTTTAAATGCCTTGAAATTATTTGCAATTTTGGGGAAGCACATCCATGACATCTATTTTTGCTATTTTAATTTACCCTTTCCGTTCTGTAACAGACTATATAAAGAAGTCTCTAAATACTGGGCACATTTTTTTTTAAATCTCATACATTAGGTATACTGAGTCTTTTGAAAAGTTTTATATTTTTAAAATGGTGGGATTACAGGTTCATTTCTGGAGGTTTTTTTTTAAACAATCTGGAGACCATCAACATATTTTCAGACTGCCTTTTGTTTTGTTTTGTTTTTTGCATGTATTTGAATGTTTTAAATCCAGCATATAGATTGTGTAATGCGCATTAGAACAGGAATTGGAACAGGAAATGAAGCAGCCAGGTGTGCAAGTCCTCAGTGCGAGGCAGCATAAGTCAATGAGACAGCTCCACTGATTCCCCATCTGAGCTTCAGCTCTCGTTCCCAGATGTCTGACAGACACTTAGCTTACCTGCCAGCCTCTTGAATTTTACAAGTCTTAAAAAAGGAGTAGAGGTTACTAGTTTCCTTCTGAACTCAGCCTGGATACAGAAGGCAAGGGAGCAGTCAGTTCAATCCAGGACTGCCTTCCTATTTCTGTTACCATGGCACCTCTGTTCTCCATGATGCCAAAGCACAAAACCCCAGATTTACCACTGCCCAAACTAGCTCATCATCTACCCCATTTCCAGTTAGTCTTCAAGTCTTGTTTCCTCTCACTTTACAACGTCCCTTGAAATCGTTCCTTCTTTCCGTTTTCTCAGCCACCACATTATCACCACCACATTGGGCTGCACAGCCTCACAAACAGCCACTTCCTGTCTCTTTTCCTTCACCATATTGTATACGGGTTAATTTTCCTCAAGCCCTTATCACTGGAGTCCCTGTTAGGACACCTTTGATGGTCTTTTCAGCTTCTGCAGAATCAAATCCACTCCTTAGTCTCGTATTTCAAGTGCCCCATAATCATTTCTGATCTATGTTTCCAACTTGATCTCCAACAACTCCTTCCAGAAACTCTCAGTCCCAGCCCCCAACGATCGTCCTCAGTCGTCCCTTCCTTCTGTGTGATGTCTACGCTCTCCAAAATGTACTCGCTCACTAATAATTACTGCAGACCTACTATGTACCAGGAGGCAATGTACCCATTTCCCTCAGAACCTTCCCTTTTGAATCCTCATTATAAATAGTCTTTCCCTCTTCTAAACTCTAAAAAAAGATGCTGTGTGCCCCACATATTTGGAATATGTCGCCATAATGTACAAATGATGCATCTGTTCTGCTCTCCTTCCAGCTACCCATCCTCAACTCTCACCATATCCTTGACGGCAGTAAATAGGTTTAACACATATGCTGTTGTTTGCTGTGTTAGTTAGGGTCTGCTGAAAAACAGAGGCCAAGACAGGGTTAGCTGTGCAAGAGAATTATTGGGACAGGAAGGATAAGATAGGCGAGCTTTCGGGCCATAGTTCCAGTCTGACGCCCGTGAAAGGAGGAGAGGAGAAGGCAGGAATGCTGGGTGAGAAGTCTTGGGTGGGAAGTCTTGGGCGGCAGCTCAGTCCCAAGAAGGGCTCAGCTATGAATGGAGAGTGAAAGGCACTCATTGGAGGAGGCCTGTGTCTTGTTGGAAAAGAGCCTGATGTAGGATTTAGATTATACATATGTAAGTAGAAAATACAGCAGCCAAGTGACCCTACTATACAATTTAAATGCAGAGTGGTTTTCCATATGATAGCAGCAGACTTGAAGGCAACATGATAAAAACTGTGCTCAGGATAACTTAATGTTTTTTCGCATTGAGCTTTTCACACTGAACTATTCTGAAAGATGATATTCTTTTCACTTCTGCTCTGAATGAACTCCTGCAGGACCTGGCTGCTCATATAAATTTTCTTTTTTTGTTCCTGCCCTCCACCATAATATAACTTTAGAATTTCAAAAATAACAATAAATTAAAATTAGCCAAATGCGTAACAGATATTATTTATAGATTGGACCACGAAACTTACCTCCTGACAGGTCTCAGGCGCCAAAACATTTCTGAATATATATGTGTGTCAACTTCCAGGCGTCCATTAATTGCTTAAAAAGTTAAACAGATATCAGTACAAACAAGTGGAATTTGAAATACAAAATATTACCATTTACATTAGCACCCACCAAAATGAAATATTTAGCTATAAATCTAACAAAAAATGTACAGGGTCTGTATGAGGAAAACTACAAAACTCTGATGAAAGAAGTCAAAAAGAACTAAATAAATGGGGGGACAGCTCATGTTGATGGGTAGGCAGAGTCAGTACTGTCAAAATGTCAGTTCTTCCCCACATGATCTATAGTTTCAATGCGTTTCCAATCAAAATCCCAGCAAGTTATTTTATGAGTATCGACAAACTCATTTTAAGATTTATATGGACAGGAAACAACACAGAAAGAACAAAGCTGGGGGTTGACATTACCCAACGTCAAGACTTACTATAAAGCTACAAGAATCAAGACAACGTGGTACTGGTGAAAGAACTGATCAACTGAACTTCATTAAAATTAAAAACTTTTGCTCTCTGAAAGACAATGTAGAGAGAATGAGAAGACAAGCCACAGACTGGGAGAAAATATTTGCAAAAGACACTCATGTCTGAAACAGGACTATTACCAAAAAAAACCAACCAAACAAAAAAAAAACCTTAAAAAAATCAAATCTAGGTAAGATTTGACTTAGTTAAGACAGCACAGGTACAAGGCTCAAAGCTTGCAAAGAAAAGACTAGAAGGATATACATATGCAATCTGTAATTAGCTATCTTTAGGTGGTAGGATATTAAGTGCTTTAATTTTTCTTCTTATTTCCTAGTTTATTTATAATGAACATGTGACATGCTCTTAAAAATTAAAAAAAAATCAATGCTTTTAGCATGCAAATTAAATGAAGAAAATGAACAGGAATGAGTGTTGTTCACTCAGTATGTAAGACAGGCCCCAGCCCTGGGAAACCTGGTCAAAGACAATCCTGAACTGTGGTCCCAACTAGCTCAAGAAGAAACAGCTCTCTACACTCATACATAATGACATTTCAATTTTTATGTTAAGAAAATTTATGCCATTTAACGGCAAAGATACTAATAAGTGAGCTAAAACTGTAGATAAGAAATAAGAAATAATACTTGGGAGGCATATGATCATTCAAGAATATGAATGGGGGGCCGGCCGAGTGGCTCAGTTGGTTAAGAGCTCGCTCAAGAGTTTGAGCTCTGAGCAACAGCGGTTGGATTCCCAGCCCGAGCTGAGCTGCTGCTGAGCTGCCAACAGGTGGCAGGATGGCTCAGCTCAAAAAAAAAAAAAAGGAATATGAATGGGAAGTAGATGAAATAATGCAGCAAAGCTCCAACCAACACGTTATCCAGCCTAAAATGATCCTACAGGCAGCCCTGACAAGCCAGAATTATTAAACCATGTACTGCACCGAGGCCTATCATGCAACAATGCAACCTGTTTCAATTGTCTTTTGCAGCAATATCTTAGAAGTTTATAAAATCACAAAGTCTCCAAATGATGAACAATGTGGGTGATCTAAATGACATGCTTTATTCCAGCTTCAAAAGTAAGACATCAAAACAAACAGAGCACTGCAAAGAAACTGTTATGATAATTGATTTGAAATAAACGTTTTGAAGTTTGAAAGTTAAAGCACGCTAAAAAGACAACAGAAAAATTCGAAATCAATTTAGAAAAGACTCGTTGCTTCGTATTTGATTCACAAAGAATTTCAGAGGCAGCCAGTCAAGTCACTCTTCAGGAGTTTACATATCTCCACATTTATGAGTAAGAATTGATAGGAAAAGCAGTTGAGTTAGCCAAGAAAGCAGCTTTAGGATTTAAGCGTTAGTTTGGAATTAGTCTCCAAAGAATTACCTACAGCAACATTGCAAAAAGCAGAGAATGTATCCTTCATGACTTCCAGACATGAAATGGAACATGAAGTGTGTTGTTCAGAGAAATTATATAACATGTCTCAGAAGCGTTTCCATAAAAATTAACCAGAGCAAAGGAAAAAAAAGTTCCTGTACTTAAAATACTGGTTTTCTGTTGTCCAGAAAAATTATTCACTGTTCACTTTATAATCACAGGTTATAACTAAACTGCTACTGAGCAATGGCTAATAAAGGACATTAACACTTGGAAATAAAATAGATTTTCCTAATGAAAATAGAATGTTCTCAAATACAAGTCTGAACATTAAATCATGGTTTCTAGATTTAGAAAGGGAAAACATAAAAAAAAAGTTAGGCTATTACAGGTTAAGAGTTAGGTGTTTCCTGCCTGTTTATTTTTATTTTTTATTAGTAGGCTATTTCCTAAAAAGCTTCACACTGCAGCAGAGTAAGAGAATTAGAATCTAGGCCTGTGCTGTCTAATAAGGTAGGCAGCCACTAGCCACATGTGGCACTTGAAATCAAGTGGTTTTTTGCAGTTTTTAAAAGGAAGATTTGACAAGTTTCACTTAGCGCAATACACCTAAAAAGGATTTTTTTTTTGAAATCAAGTGTTTTAAGTGTAAAGTACTCATTGGATTGTAAAGATTTAGTACAAAAAAAGAATGCAAAGTACCTCATTAATACTTTTTGATATCAGTTAGATGTTGAGGTAATTTATTAAAATGAATTTCACTTTTTTCTTTTTGCTTTTTTTTTTTTTTAAATATTTTTATTGGGGAATTGGGGGGATGGGAACAGTGCTGGGGAATTGGGGGAAGGGGAACAGACAAGTTGCTGTCCTTTTGTTCTTCAATCTAGTTGTGGAGGACGTTGCTTCACTGGCCCAAGTTGGCACCATCATTGTGCTCTTCTCTGGCGAGGCAGATCAGTCGCCGGCTTCTGGACGGCCGCTCACTGCGGCTGCTGGCCGCTCACGCTGGCTGCTGGCTACATACGGTAGCCCATGGCAACCCACTGCCACAGGGAGTGCAGCCTACGCCGTCGCCGGCGACTCATGGCAGCCCAGCTCCAGGTTGAGCTGTTGTTCAGCATCTTAGCTGTGGAGGGCAGTGTCACTGGCCCTCATATGTGGGATCCGAACCGGGGCCCTCTGGCATCCCAAGCGAGTTCTTAACCATCGCGCCACTCGGCCGGCCCTCTTTTTGCTTTTTTAAAAAGCAGAACACAACCAGGTTTTGTCTTTTGCAATGTACTATTAAAAATTTTTAATTACATCTGTGGCTCACGTTGTATTTCCATTGGACTGGGCTGGTCTAAGCCAATGCAAGGCATAACTGCTTTAAACCAACAGGACACTGTCGGAGGGGGAGACTGCACAACGGTGAGGGCGGGGAGGCTGGAGTGTCTGCCATCTGCATTCAGATCTTGACTCCAGCACAGACTAGCTGTGAGCAAGGGGAGGTTATTTCACCTGCTCTAGATGTGTGTTTCCTTATCTAGTAACACAGTACAGATGGTCCAAGAGCAAGCGGTCTGTTCTGCTACAAAAAAAGTCGCTTTGATGTGACTTATTCTGTGCAATTGGTAAGTAGGGAAAAGGTGTTACATCATATGCAGTTTTTTCCCCCCAGTATGTTAATGATTTGGAGAGATCAGAGGTGGGCTTTCTATAAAAAAGGCTTTAGCTATATGTAAAGACTTAAGCAAAAACCCGAAAATTCCCCTTTGGGGGATTTCAGTTCCTTCCTTTGGTTTAGGAAGCAGATGGTTAGTGGCTTTAAGTATCCCTGTATTTTCCACTACATCAAGCAATCTGCGAAGCTGCTGGTACGGATGAAAAAGCCAGAGCTCTCCACAGGTCTTATTTTGAGTGGTGTATTTTTTGTTGTAGCCAATGTCTATTCAGTTAGTGAATATTTTATCAAATTTTGTCTTACAATGAAACAACAATAAATACCAGGGGTACCAAAACCATGTATACAAGGGGACACGTTGGTCAGCGTTGCTCAAGCAGTAGTTTGCCGTAATCAGAAGTGTCTGGACGCTGATGGTAACCACTTTGAGCACCTCTTGTAATTGCAGAAGTCAAACGTGACTTGTATTCATCTTTTGTTATCCGTATATACTATTACAATTTTAATAGAGTTTTCCTTTCTTAAAATGTGTGTACATTTTTGGGGCACCCTCTGTACATACAGACATCATTGTTGGGCCTATATCTGAACTCACTAGACTGAAGCTATCTTCACTGTTTCGTATTTAAGAAAAAATGTTGAAACCCACATTTAAAATACTGGAAATATTCATGAGAGGTTGTTTCTACAAGGTGAAATGTAACCTAGCACATTATAATTATGTTTTAGCTCTCTGGGTAGGGGACCCCACATCAGATTTCTGTACCTGTTTTTAGGAGTACATTATGTATGAAAATAGGGGCTACATATCTCATAAGAATTTTGTGCAACTTAAGTCAAATTGATGTACATAAGGGATTTAGCAAATAGAAAATTCCTAAGAATGGCAACTATTATTATAATAATTATTATTATATAATTCAGGGTATATAAAAAACTGCAGAATTCTTTTTTCCCTCCTCATAAGTGCTTACATGTAGCTAGAACATGCAGTTAAATACTGAAAACAAATTCTGTGATTGGAAAATTCAGAATTATCAAAATACGGGATCAATGTCTGGAAGTCTTAAAAAAAAACAGTGTGAGGCTACATACAAGTCAAAAAGCACAAATGAACGATTTCACTTCAGACTTTAGCGGAAAAATGGAAACTATCAGAACAAATAAACATGGCTATTTATTTTTACTATTCAAAGACAAAAAAGTTAGCACTTGCGAAGCAATAAAAAGACAAATTTCCATGGTAGCAGCATTTCTGCCCCCCAAAAAGAACTGAAGAGTGTATAATAAAGGTTATTGTGTTGTTGGAATTGCTTTTTTTTTTATGAATTAATAAAGATGGTGTTTTTCAACTGAGAGGTGGAGGGGCAATACAAGAGGGAATGTGACTTCTTTTCTTTTTGCCAACAATCCCCTCTCCCCCCCAGTAGTGGCCAATTCATTATTTCTATAGGTAAATGCCTATATACATAAAAAAGATATTCATTTAATAATGCTGATATTCACGCAACCAAGTTATTGTTCTGCTCGTAAGATGATCATTTCCTATTTAAATCATTAGAAAAAAATGAAAAATATTTTTTCTGGTTCTTTTGAAGTCCCCTTGGAGTCCTATGAGTTTTTTTAGTATTTCCAGTAAGATCTCTTTGAAGAGTAGGCTCTGACAGCTAAGTGACGGAAGGCGTAATCAGATCAGGATCCAATATTGGAAAATAAAGGGATAAGCTGGGTGGGCCTGCAATCCGTGTCAACATGCCTTCAGGATTCTGATGAACACTCAAAATTGAGAAGCACTGCTTTAAGGAATCCTGATTCTATCGTTTTACAGGATTGAGGTGTTTGTCAGAAAACTTTTAAACTTTAATTCTTTAAAAATACTTGTTGAATTCTAACTTAGGGAGAGATCTTTAGCTACTCAGTTGTATGCTAAAAAAAAAAAAAGAAGTTTTAAACTTTTGCTTGAACTAGGTGTTTCCTGTATGGTTTACCCACGTCTTGATATTAAAAGAAAGAAGAAAAAAAAAACTAAGTGGAAGCAGGGTTAAAGCCCCGCTGATTGGCAGGCCTGAACAGCTGTTTGCCTTTTCATGTGGCACAGTTCTTGGGTCAGCCCTCCTCGTTGCAAGACCAAGAACCCAATTTTATCACTTCAGCCAGATATAAACAGGTCCCAGGAAAACAAAACCATTAGGGGCCTAACTGATAACTACAACGTCAACTTTTTCATTTACTATAAGAAATGTAATTGCTAAGACTAGAAGACTCAGATCTGTGGTTCTTTCCCTTATAAGCCTAGTAGTACACAGCAAATCAAATTACCATTGCAGAAACAATATATACTGCTTCAGAGGAGAGTTGGATGCTCTTGTTTGCTAGTGAGAAGTGGTCTGAAAGCCGGGAGCACCCAGGTTAACTGGAGGGTTCTTGTCTCGAGACATTCTTAAATGGGTGGTTCTTGTACATATTGCATGTAGCCCACTATCCTTCCTTATGGAAAAGCCTCAAGCATGCTACAAAATAACGAAAATGGCTACATTGTCTTATCAGACTTGGAAGGCACTCTGGGTCCTTACCTCACCCAATTCATCAACTGGCATTTACTAAGCACTTAACGCGCTAGGTTCTGTGCACAATATTGGGAATAGAAAAACATGAAGATAATTCCGCCTCTCCAAAAACTTACAGCCTAGGAGAGAGGGAGGCAGTAGAAAGACACAAGCAGATAACTGTAAAACAATGCAGTAAACGAAAAGATAACAGCCACGCACAGAGTATTATGGGAATCACCTAGAATGGGGGCTGTGGAAGGCCTTTTCTAGGGAGATGGGTGGAGGGTGGAAGGGCACAATTCATTTACAGAACACTGTAAACGACTGCTGTAATCCACTTAACAGTGATATTAGCTTCTATTCCATAAAATGAAAGTTTCTGATTTTAACCAAAATTCTGTGCAGTTTCAAATAAAATTTGGTAGAAACCAGTGGAAAAGCCAAATTATGGGTAGTTTAACAAAAACGTTTGTTTTGCTTAGATTACTTTTGATAGATACACAGTCACATGTTTGCCAAACAGCGGTCCTACGATTGCTCTTTGGCCGTCTGGCCCAATTTTTATTTGAAAGTAACTTATTGTAACAAAGTCAATATCCTCAGGCTACTCTCATTTAAACTGACTTTCCTTAGCAACTATCTGTTACGATTTTTAAAAGCAGTTTGTTCCATCAAGGAGGGATAAAAGCGGGCAGTTTTTCCTGGCTTTTCAGTTGAATACTTCTCAGGGAAGGGCAAACGGCAAAGAAAAACCAAAAGCAGCAAGTTCTATTAGATAACTCAAGAGCAAAGTCTACAGATACCTTAGCTTCTTTTTCTAAATCTTTTACTATGAAGTTTGAAGCACCACAAGTCCCTAGGATACGTCAAAGACTTGGGGTCAACATTATAGTCGGAAGCAGGGAAGCCTAACGAAATCGTCTTTGGTTTCTTACTTCAAAGCAAGTTACAACGGACGCGATGCGGCCACTCCGGCCCCTGGCATCGCCTCAGTTCAAAAGTTAGTCGTCGAGCTAAGGTGGCTCTGCGCGCAGCCCGCCGCGACCCCCCTTTCTGCCCGGAGCAGCCTGAAGGCACAACTGCAGCCCCTCCCCTGTTGCTCCTTACAGTTCCCGTTAAGAGTCCGCCGCCAGGGTTTCCTCCGACCTATTTCACCTCCCACCGGGTATCAGGAGGGAGGACGGTCGCTCCCCACGCAGGGCTGTGCGGGGGCGCGCGCGCGGCTGTAACGGGGCGCATGCGCACCGGGGCGCCAGCCCGGCCAACGAGCGCGCGCCGCGGGGCCCGCCGCTCCCGCCTGCCCTCGCCCCGCTTGAAGACAGCTCTGACGGGCTCTCCCGCAGTGCTCTCCGAGCTCCGACCCCTAAAATCTCAGCGGGGCGCGCGCTGCTCCACCTCGCCATCCAGCGTCGCTGGCGGTGAGCCGGCCCCTGGGACGCGGCCGCAGATGGCGCTCTCATTGGCTGGAGCGTGCCAGGCCTTCCTCCCTGGGGCGCCTGCGCTCAGCCCGAGACGCGGATTAAAATCTTTAGCGGTACCGTGCCCCGTCCTGACGTCAGCGCCTAGGTGACTGCCCCGCCTTCCCCGCCGCTTCGAAGCCCCTGCCCCTTGGTCTCCTTACCGCCCAGCTTGGAGTGAACTGTGCGCGCTCCGCCTAAATCTTTAGGACGCGCAAGTAAGCCCTCCGAGATATGAAGAACTGGGTCAGAGGGAGTCGGAAACGACAGGGCGGCAGGTGGCGGGGCCTGGCCCAAGGGTCGGTGGAGAGGGTGGGGAACGAAGGGCACAGAGCACGCGCTGGAGCCTGGAGCTGGGGGGCGGGAGGGGGCGCTAGAGGGCGCGCGCATGCGCTGGTTCCCCCAATTTACCCCCCTCCCCTACACCCGGGGCTCCCAAAGAGAGGGTTGGCTAGGCTGTTCGGCGGATCAGCCCGCGGAGCTTTCGGAGCTGACGCTTTAGGGACTACTGTCAGTTGAGAGCTCCAGATTTTACAGGTCTTATTGAAGTATGTCTTTGGGCTGTTACATAAATGTAGCTAATTAAAAAATTTTTTTTTCCGGTTTGCATTTTTCTTTGAATTTGGCCCCTTCAATATCTGGCTATTTTCAAACCTTAAGTATTTTCCACCATCAGCTTGAGTTTTCACTATTAGCGTCCTGTGACTTTGATTATCCCTAGAAACTGCCAGAGATGAAACTAGGCAAATACAATAACCGCTTTCCCCTTTTCTACCTTTTGGCACTGCAGACTGAGGCAAAAGAAAAAAAAAAAGCCTTAATTTGTTCGAGTCCTAAGGGCTCTTGACTTCTCACTAGAAACAATGTGATCACTTGTGATCCATTCCATCCAGTCCCATTTTTTTCTAAAAGCTGCATTTGTCACCTCTCCCAGTCTTCCTTTCAAATGCTTCTTTGCAGCCAGCATCTAAACAGTCTCATATTTCCTTTCTGTGTTTGAGTTACCACCCCTTTTGAAAAGGACTAATTTATAATTGCCCGTTTACCATTCTCCACTGTGTCCTCAAAGGCACCTCAAACTGATGGTAGTAAGCTCCAAACCTATTTCCTCAGTTCCGCTTTAATAATGGCAGTTACAGTCACCCTTTGTTTATACTAGAGAACTAGCCATCTTTCTTGATGTCTCCGCCCCACTTCCTATATCCCATTCATGATACTATTCATCCCCATTTCATTATAGTAAGGCATTTTGTTAAGGGCTAGGATCTAACTTTTTCAGCCTTGAGGTTATAGACTTATTCCACTGATGCCGCCTAATAGTACTATATTTTGGGAACTCCTCTAAGGACTTTCAGTCCCCTTATCATGACTTATTTACTACTCACCTTATTCAGACCTTTTCTCTATAAATTATTTCAGATTATGGTTTAAAGTATCAAATCTAAAGTATCAAATTAAGGATTGGGGATGACCATCTTGGAGAATGACTGCTACAGATTCTGAAGCTGACCAGAAAAGTTTTAACTTCCTAAAGTGGTTTGAAAGTAACAACCTTTGTTTGGATATTTAAGTCTGCAATATGTGTTTAAAATACTGTTGACTACTACCTAATGTAACATACAAAAATTACAAATTTTCAAAATACATCAAGTATTCTAGATACACTAAAGGAAAACTATTCACAGGGTAATTAAAATGTTTTTGGTGTTACTTAGAAGGAACTCTGGAATTTTAGTGTGAGTCATTTTTTTTTATGAGTCATTTTTCAATACTATTTTACTATTCTTTTTATAGATGTGGAGAAGGCTTTAAAAACTGGAGTAAGTATAATATAAATTCAACCTGTTTCATGCCCCTAAAGGTGTTTCTGAAAACACCGGTTACCTGCTTGCATATTTCCCCTTTTATGCCTCAGTTCTAGTAAACTAAAATTCATTCAGTTCATGATTTTTCATTGTTTAGATTTCAGAATAGGGATGTACCATATTTAAGTTTATGTAAAGAGAGGTCAAAAAAATAATTTGAAAAATCACTTTTCAGTGTGGCTAAAACCATAATAAACTGTATATATCAGTTAAAATTTTTAATGTTTGAAAACTTAACTTACTGTAAATCAATAAAGGGCAAAAGCTGAATATAGTGAAAACCATCTTTATTTTTATTACCTTTTACTTTCAACAATGATTAACTTAAAAAAAAAAAAGCCTTTATTAACTAATGGTTACTGAAAAGCCAAACCTTTCCGGCCCACTTCATGTTCGCTTTCAACCATTTCCGGGCGGAACAGTGTTCCAAACTATAAACCTGTTCCTTATTAACATTGACGGTCATGTGCTTCATGAAAAGCTTTGGATCTGATAAACGAGCTGCCGTAATCAATCTTTCCACTGCAGCTTGATAATCATCCTTGTTCCGAGATTTGTTTTCTTCACATCTACAAAGAGAACATCTCACAAAGTTAGAGTTGTAAAAAGAAGCTAGATAGTTTCTTTAAAAGGTGGTTATTTACATTGATTAGTACTAAGCTATCACAGTCTTTTTTACTATATTCTTCTACCAGTGGCTTTCAAACATTTTTTAAACCATAACACATAGTAAGGGAGACGTTTTATATTGTGACCCAGAATATATCCTCTAATAAAAACTGAAGTAAAATTTTCACAAAACAAGATGTAACTCTATGACAGTGCATTCTATTTTCTATTGTCTCATTTTTTAATAATGTGGTTGCAACCCTCTAATTTGGTTTCACCACCCAAGTGGGCTACAACCCGCAGTTTGAAAAACACTGATTTTGAACACAGCTAATAACCTCAATCTTTGCATTTTCAAAGTTAAAAATTGCACAATTAATAATGCATAAAAGAATATTGAATTTAATCATTTGACGTTACTGACATTCACGTTTTACACTGATATTGGCTATTTTTAATTGTGGCTATTTTTAATTATAATTATACTGAATATGTAGCTAACATTTGGTAACAGAAATTGTAGCTGTATGTCTTCACTAAATTTCCAGTTATTTTCCTTCAGTCCTCATTTAAGGTACTTCACAAGTGCTAGAATCGACTCTTCTAATAACTTTTCTACTAGTCTCCAAATTTCATAAAATTCATAACTTATGGCCGTTTTTCCTATGGGATAAGGAGTAGGAAGTATTTAAAATAGAGATGTGGCTATTATATTGAACATCACTTTTTCTTGTGTGTTCTCTGCATCCTGCTGTGGCCACCACAGGGCCCAGCAGCAAGGCCCGAGAAGAAGGAGCCTACCTGTGCTAACACCAGTGTGGTCCAGAGTGGCGGGAGTGAGGGTTTTCACTTGGAACAACTACCAGTGGTCACAGACAAGACAGATTGGTCAGGAGCCTTCTAGTACCTTCTGGCTTAGGAATTGGTGCCTGGAATCTGGTAGATTGGGCATATGCCAACTATGTGCAGTTTGAAACTCTAAAGATGAATAAAATTCTCTCTTACAGAGCTTAATGTAACAAGATGAGGTTCAGTATGATAATAGAGAAATCGATATTGGCTTGGACAAAATCAAAGATCTACGCATGTCACTAGTTATCCCCTGGGGTCACAAATAGCCCCAAAAGTCAACAATGAGTAGAGAGGCTGCATATGTGTGCAAAACGGAAAGCTATGAGGAAAACAAACCCTCAGCAGGATGATGGGAGCCCAAATGCCTCAGCCACTGCAGTGCACCGTGGTAAATACGGAAACCCTCAGAAAAGGAGAGCGCTATCAGGAAAAAAAGCTAATTTGAATTGGTTTAAAAAAGGTGGTGGCCGTAAAACAAATTACTTCCAAATTCTCCTCCCCTTAAGTATGGGCTGGATTAAATGACTCTGTTATCACAAATAGAACAAAGCAGAAACGACAGTGCTCAACCCTGGACACTGAGTTGTTAGATGGCAATTCTCCATGGGTCTGCTGCATTTCTGGAAATTTTCAGAGCAGAGACACTGACTACCTCTTGTTTTGGATTTCAAGAATGTTTATATAGTGAATAACCTTGAAAGACAAAGATAATTTCTCCCTCTGGAGCAAAGAGCAGGTTTGGGTACAGCCTTCCAAGGTGGAGACAGTGTTTCCCAGCAGAGCAAAGGGGAGGGCATGCTTATTATCCATTATAAAAGACTTGGGTTCCCTGCGTTCAGGATTCCTCTCCTGTAATAGAACCCGCTGCATGTGCAGGTATCCATCTGGGCCCATCTGCAGGACTTGGGAGCAAGGGGAAGAGAAACAAATATGCAGATCATCGTGCTGCTTGCTGTGCCGTAAGCAATAAAGTCCTCTGTTTCCAACCCAGGAGTCTGGTTCTGGTGTCTTATGCTAGGATCCAGGAAATTGGCAGACTGACTTGTAGCCTGCAAATAGGGTAAAATCTCAGCGCCTTCATTTCTTGATGTAGGTCATAAAAGGCACTGTAGTTTCCTCCTTGCTTTTTCTCTCCTGGATTGCTCACTCTGAGAGCAGTTAGCTGTCATGTTGTGAGGACACTTAAGGAATCTGTGGAAGGGCCCATATGGCGAGAAACAGGCTTCCCGCCTAAAGCCATATCAGTGAGCCATCTAGGAAACGGATCCTCCCACCCCAGTTAAGCCATCAGGCAGGTGACTGTAGCTCCTAAGCACATCCTGTCTCCAACTGTGTGACATACCCTGAGCCAGTACCATCCTGCTAAGCTACTCAAAGATTCCTGACTCACAGAAACTAAAGTGATTTTTGCTGTTTTAAGCCACTAACTTTTGGGATAATTTATACACAGTAATAGATAACTGATAGAATATTCAATCTGAGGATATGGCTTGTAACACCAGTAAACTGGAGCAAAATTCTTGTCAAGAAGCTCTACAACAGGAGTCCCATGAGATCCTTATATTACAAGTTTTCTGGATCAGGCTGACACGAGATTGAAGTGGTATAAAGCTTAAACTCTGGGACTCTGAACAAAATTATTTGAAGGGATGCTACTTTAGCCCAACAGCTACATGATAATATTCAATATTCATACATTTATAATAACATTTTAAAATATAGAAACTAGGCTGATAGGTTCAATCAAGATTCCTGTTGAAAACAAACCCAACAAACTATCACATATTTTCCTTTTAGACCTGGTTCTTAGATCTTTTGTGTTGACCAAAAAGATAAATAACTTTTTAGGTACCTATCTAAAAACTATCAGTACATGAAAAAGATAGATATCTAAAAAGGAACCATCTCTTTGAACATCTAACAGCATCTTTGAAGTTTTTGTTGAATGCTACTAATTTGTTTCATTTTAAGTCCCAAACAGGTCATATCCTTTCTCAATTTAAATGTTACCAAAGTTTGTAAATACACTACACAATTATATAAACATATATATATATATAAGGATATTTATAAGCACATACATATACACACATTTTTTATATACATCTATGCATACACATACACACCATGTATATAAAATTTACATCCTAGGGCAGGTGTAGGGGGCCATGATCTGCCTTCAGGATGCAGTTAAAAGTTTTATCAACCAACCTTTTCAAAACTATCTGTAGCATCTGTGTAGAAGTACCAGGACTTTGAATACTACTAGCATTAGATACCAGGAAGATTTCAATAGCTAAAAGCATTTCAATCTCAGATAAATAAGAAGGAACCAGTAGAAGTTTTCGGTATAAATTTCCCTCTAACGGTGGGTAGCAACCCAATGAAAGAGCACCTGAAAATCAAATAATAGATCAAACTTTACTAAAACTCCAACAGATGAAAACCTAGACTTCTAAAATATCCATAGGTGATAATTACATTACAGGATAATTTTTCACATTAGAAGATTTATTATTACACAAATTATGGTAGTGAGCTTATCCTAGTACATTTGAAATTATTCTTTGCAAAATGTTTTTGAAACATTAAATATGAAGTGAGAAATATGTTAAACTATCTGAAAAATGACTTTTGAGCCTTATTGTGGCATTTCAAGCCATAGTCAATACAACATAATTTCAGAATAACTAAAGAACCAGAATAGCTACTGGGGCTTTGTTTTAATGGGATCTGGTCTAACAGCAACTATATTTATAATTATTGCCTATCTTGAATTATGAATCCAAAATGTAGAAAGAAAACAAATTACAATTAAAAGATTTTATTTTCCATCACAGTTGTTGTAGTATTTTTGAGTGTGCTTATTTATAGTGCTGTAATAGTTAAACTTTGGGGGGAGTCAAAAGTCATCCACAGATTTTTGACTATGCAGGGGATCAGTGTCCCTAACCCTTGTGTTGTTCAAGAGTCAACTGTGGTCTGTGCCATAAATATTTACTGTTCCTATGGTATGTCTGACATCGAACAAAGCAGTAGATATCAAAATGAATAAAATACATTCCCATCCTGTAGGCGCTCAGAGTTTGTAGCTATACTCACCAATTCATGTTCCAAAAATTTTACTTTTCAAGAGAAGAGATTTGATTTTTAAACTGTTTAGGTGCTCACTGAAAGTGAGATATACATAGGAAAATCCCCTAAGTCCTAGGCCACCCAAATTGTATATAGGCACTGTTGTTACCTTTTATGGAAACCATTTAATACTGTATGTACAGTGGTCCCCCCGATCCTTGAGGGATATACTCTCAGACTCCCTGTGGATGCCTGAAGTCACATATAGTGATAAGCCCTATTTATACTATGTTTTTTTTTTTCCTATACATACACTCATTTTACAGCTTCTCTTTGGCATGTGCGAATTGCCAGCATCACTACTCTTGCACTTTGGGCCATTAAGTAAAATAAGGCTGACTTGAACACAAGCCCTGTGGTACAGTGATAGTCGATCTGATAACGGAGATGGCTACTAAGAGATGAACGAATAGGGAACGTCTCTACATGCTGGACAAAGGGATGATTCACATCCCTGGCAGGACAGAGCAGGGTGGCGAGAGATTTCATTACACTACTCAGAACGGAGGGAAATTTAAAACTTACAAATTATTTATTTCTGGAATTTTCCATTTACTATTTTGGACAATGGTTTACCGAGGTAACTGAAACTGTGGAAAATGAAATAGCGGATAAGGGGGGCCTACTAAGGCATTGAAAGGCTTTTCTAGCAAGTGTTAAGCTACGTGTGGAAGATAAATCTAAAGAGAGTTCTGATGATATTTTAAATATCAACACTGTCAGGAAATGAGATGTTAGGAAGACTGATTGGTGACTATAAAGCACTCATTTCATTTTATAATTTAGGTACATTTAAAAACAATCCCAAAATACTCTTTATCTATAACTTCACTTGCATAAGTCCCAGAAGTTCACTGTATATAAAATTAGGCATAGATGTGTTTAGATAGGGAGAAAAGTGCTAATAAGAAAGGTACCAACTTGTACCTAGGCACTAACAAGCTGCTAAAAAAAATCTTTAAAAATAAATTGAGTTGGAAGAATTTGGAGGAATGGGGAGTGACTGCTAATGGCGATGGGGTTTCTTTTTGGTGTGATGAAAATATTCTATATTGACTATTATGATGGTTGCACAACTCTGTAAATACACTAAAACCATTGAATTACATATGTTAAATGGGTGAATTACATATGTGTATGGTTTTGAATTAATCTCAAAGCTTAAAACATATATCTTAAAATTTTAAAAATAAATGATTAAATTTAGCTGCTTTAATACAAAATTTTATTTTCAACTAAAAAATAGAAAGGTTCATATAAATTTCATTAAAATGTTTCCAAGTTTATATTTTGTTTTTGTGGCATACAAATACCTTCTGATGACATTTTCCCCAAATTCCACAATTGTTTGAAAATAACCCCATTTATATTGATTTAAAAACTAAAATGAAGAAGTTATAGCAAATAACACATATATATATATACAATGCTTTGTGTGTAATTCCTAGCTGTCTGCAGGGAAATAGGATAGGGAGTTGAAACATAATCACGAAATTGAAATCAGGTGTTATGCACAAATAATTCCACCTTTCCTCTAAATTTTTGATCATTCTTTTTAAAAAAAATTCTGCTTTTAAAACTTTTTTTTGTCACCTATAAGACATACATTTTACATAATGAGCCAATATACACATATGTATATATGTAGCTGAAATGAAAATTTTATCAAATAATACTCAATCTTACTACCTGTAATACACACTAACATGTATTTTCTTTCCCATTTCTTTGGGAAAAAAAGTTACCACCTGCTAATTGATCACAGCTGGTGGTGTGAAAAACATTTCCAAGTTTAGAGAGGTTTTTGTGCAGGTGGGGGTGGATGTGATGTTTGACACATTTGGCACAGTGGTGGCACATAGTAGGTAGGCACTCAAATGTTTGTTACATACACGACAGTGATAGAAATAGAAATGTATGACAAATTACTGCAGGAAGGCAGAAGAGAACTGTTTTCTAGACATAGATTCGACCTGGAATTACTTTCTAATTAAAATACCTGCGAAGTGGCTGGGACTAGAGACAGCACTGGTTTTCCAGGCTTACTGCCTGGAGAGAAATAGCTATAAAGAGATTAATGATGTTCTATTACTAGGAGCCACGTGAAAAACTGTTATGTATCACATTCATTGTAATGGCAGCCTCTGTACTTCCTATATGGCCTGCTATAAAATATTGTAAGTTATAAAGATCAAGGATCTAGGAGGGATAAATAAAATATGTAAGTTTTCCTTAAACTTCATTCTACCCAGTTATCTTACTCCTATATATTTATACGATATGCCAAACTGGTTCTGTCATTTACTTCCTTTGTGCACCCTCCAGTGGACACGCCAGTGTGCAAGGAAATAAAAATACAGTAATTAGAAATGAGAGAAATAACAGGTTTCAAAAGAACACAGATTTGTTTAGACCACTATCTTTCAGTATGTATCAACTGTTCTTTTTACATATTTAAATTTATAGTTGTAAATATTACACAAGGATTCAGGGTTAGAAAATCAATGTCAAAACCAATATATAAAATTAAAAAATTTTAAATGTAACTTACTTTTGTAGTGGGCTCTGGCTTTGAGCCATAAACAACTCCTTCCTAAAGAAGTAATTAATCTTCTAAGAAAGAAAAAATCAATAGGGATGCTCTTTGAAATCATGAATTCTGCTACAGAGGATGACATTCCAAGACTGTTGCTTTCTATACAGGCATCTAGAAGTTTATTAAAAAGAAGGCTATACTGTGAGACTGCCACAGTTTCTGAAAAGAAAAAAAAATAATTGATGTAATTAAATTGATCTATATCTTAGCCTCTCAAACTTCTGTCTCTTACTACTTTCCTTTCCCTCTGCTCCCCTTGGCACTTTCTACCCACTCCAGAAGTCAGTCATCTTACATATTCTCTAAAGAACAACCAAAAACTCATTCAACAAAAGCAAAACCATTCATTTACTTTGTAATGAAGAATATGAAAGGAAGCTTGACAATGACTTCAGAGGCTGCATTAACACCTATGATTCCCAGATGTGACTGCATTTGCAGGTCTCAAATGACTACGTAGTTCTGTTTGCATTATTTCTACAGTTCAGACCTCAGACGTGTACTTCCCATGATTAAAAATAAATCATTCCCTTATAAATATTCCCTCTCAATGAAAAAAATCCTTTATTGTGTATTTCTATTCCTTTCTATTCTTCATTTAGAAGAAAGCAAAGTCACCTTGGAGACTCCCAGTGTTATTATTTGGTCAGTTCGATCTATGACCTAGGCTCTAGGTCTTTAACACTTTAGGATCTTTCAGGGATTCCAGGCCTTATCAGGAAATTAATCTTTTTACCTTTAGTCTCTTCCTAAACATCACCACCAGAGGAACTTTCCTAAAACACCAACTTGGATAAAGCCCTGAGGGGGGGCCCTCAGGTTAACGTTTTCATTAAATGTTAAGCCATCACTCAGCTCATTTCTGATCCAAAGCCTATACTCCTTTCCCTTAACATGGACTCCCTCTTCCTGTCCATACAAGACCTGAGCTGTGGCATTCAAGAGCACTATCTATCATCGCCACATCAGTATTCTCTTTCTTTGAACTTGCCACCTGCTTAATTTCCTCTATTTATTCCATGTTTCCCTATGTTCCAAAATAATGGAAACTAAGTTCTATATTTGTTAAATGATAAAAGTATTCTTCATTATCCTAATGCAATAAATTCTTTTAAGATATGAAGCTTGTTGGGGGCACTTAACATACTGTTTGCTGAAGGTAGGGAAAGGGGAATGATGAAGAGGCTTCTGTTAGGAACTGCTGACAACCCAAAGATAAGTATCTCTAATTTTTTTTAACCCTCAGGAAAGCATATTCAATTTGCAGAGAATACATTTTACAGAAAACCACTTCATTAAAAATATATGCTGGAATATAAAACTCAATCAAAACAGGTGGAGACTTTCTTATTAGCAGTTAAATACCAGATGGGCAGGAGATAATTAAGCTAGACTTTAAAAAAAATCATACCTCCAGAATTTTGAAAACCTGGTAGATTTTGCAAGACTTCAAATGTCTGTCTGTAAAGGCTCTTGGCTAAGATTTCATGTGCAATTGTACAGAGCAGATTATGTCGATTGAGTACATCCATTCTATCACAAGGCCACAGTGGGGTATTGATTATCCATTCTGACTCTTCGAAAAAAGTATTAATACTTTATACTATGAACATTACACTTAGTATAATCACAACCAATGTTTAAAAATATCTTTTGGAAAGTGATCAAACTTAAATATGTGTACTCAAAAAAGATAACCATGGCTCAAATTTATAAGAAACTTAAATAGTGATGATCATAACCACCTTGTTATACTTTTTTTTTATTAGTTTCAGGTGTACAAAACAATGTAATAGACATTTCACTCCTCACAAAGTGATAACCCCCTCCCCCAATCTATTACCCCTCTGACATCATATATAGTTATAATTCCATTGACTCTATTCCCTATGCCTTACTCAATATCCCATAACCAGATATATATTAAATTATAGTTGACATTCAATGTTACTCAGCTTTAGCTTCAGGTGTACAAGTGCAGTGACAGTGTGGGGAATACACTTATTTTTTAATTCTTCATTTTCTAAGAGTACTAATAAGTTGATCCTGAAGTTAATGTTTATTTTTATATGACAAAATGTTCAGATTATAATGAATATTTGTAATAATGTAAAATATCTGTGTGGACAACTTCAACAATTTTACAATAAAGAATACATAATTTAATTAGTTTTGGTATTCTTGGGGAACAGCTTTTCCCAATTTTCAAACAATTTTTATTATAATATTTGATATGTATAGAATATCTAATGTAAGTTACAAAAGCATAATAATAAAATGAACTCTTATGTGCCTATCACAGCTTAAAACAAAAGAATATTATCAATAATTCTGAAGTTCCTTAATTTCTGCTCTGATGTTCATATTGAGAAAAACAATAGGAGACTAGTACAGAACACTGAGGTGTTAAAATGTTAGAAATGTCAATATTTTCTCATTTACCTAATTCCTTCAGGTATCATACACACAATGAGACACATGAGAAAACATTGCTATTTCACACTCAAAGCGCATTTCCATGTTCTTTTTCAACTGGACTAAGTGCAGGAATCATGTAATCATTTTCTCTTGTAGCTTTCCCATCTCAGGGAATACAAAAAGTATTAAAGAAAGATTTGATAATTCAAGTATATGATGCCAAAATGAAACCTTAAGTATCCAGTATAAACTTTAAAAACAGGAAGCTTGATTTTAAATCACTAGAGCTCACCTGATTGATTAACTGACTTCATTTATGCTATGTGCTAGACAATGTTTTACAGATATTAGTGCTCTATGATTATTAACTCATTTAGACATAAACCTTCATTAATTTACCTCTAAATTTGCTTAAATTTTACTATATAAATTTGAATGAACTTGAAAAACTGCACAGATATTTAACATAATTCCCATATAATTTTAATAATTTGTGTATTCTAAACATTATAAAAACATAAGGATCACATTAAATATAAAAATCACATTAAACCTGTGATTTCATATATAGTATTGCTTAGGATGAGGCCGAGTTGGTTGATTTACTTTTAAAATAATGTTTTTAATATGAACTATCACTATAAAAAATGCAAGCAAAACAGAAATTAACAAAAAACATATTAATATTGTGTATATGCTTAAATTAGCATTTTAGTGACAGTCGTTGGTCCAGGTGTTTGAGCTAACCTTTATATTAAATTTCCTAATATAAAAACATTAACACTTTTTTGAAAACAAACCAACCACAAAAACACACATACATGCTTTCAAAAACTGCAGCCTGAGACAACATGGATGGACCGTGAAGATATTAGGCTAAGTAAAACAATTCAGATAGAGAAAGATGAATAATGTATGATCTCACTTATAATGTGAAATCTAAAAACCAAAACCAAAACAAATCACCAAACCCCAAAAAGAGATCAGATTTATGGTTACCAACAGTGGGGTTTGAGGGGTGGGGTAACTGGATGAAAAATGGTCAAAAGGTACGAACTTCCAGTTGTAAGATAAATAAGTACTAGGGATGTAATGTACAACACGATGACTACAGTTAACACTGCTGTACGGTATATTTGAAATTTAAGAGAGTAGACGCTAAGAGTTCTCACCACAAGGGAAAAACTTTTTGTTCTGTATTTATATGACATAATAGATGTTAACTAAATTTACTGTGGTAATCACTGCAAAATATATGTAAGTCAGGTCATTATGCTGTATACCTTAAACTTATATAGTGTTGTACAATATATGCTTGTGTGTTAGTGTGAAGGTTATCTATTTGCTTTACTTATGCATATACTCGTATTCCATCTTCCCAACCTAAACTCTGAGATTCTTGAGGTTTCTTCATTCTTATCCTATTTCATCAAATAAAATCTGCCTGATGGTCCAAGTAGCCAGAACTACTGGTAGATACCGTGCTGTGCTACTACTGTACTCTCTGAATTTTTATTTACCTCATACCAAACTACCTTAGTTGCTTCTGCTGGCTTAATTTCATATTAATTTCTCTAGATGGGTTGACTTTCTAGGGAAAGTAAGCTTTATTTGTCTTGGTATGAAGTCATGTTTGCCTGTCTATGCAAAGATGGAGTTTATGGAGATTGCAGTCAGGATTCCCTGTCTTAGATGGCAGCTGATGCCTGGGCTCTAAAAGCTGGACTGCTTGGGTATGAATCTGGCCTCCACTCCATACACTTGTTACGTCATTTTGGGCAAGTTGCTTAATAACATCTCTGACATGTTTTTTAAATCCATAAAATGGGGATTGTGATAATTCCAAACTCATAGGATTTCTAAGAAGATTAATTGAGATAATCAAGGTAAATCATTTAGTATAGTATCTACGCCAAAATAAGAACTAGCTTTTCAACAAAGGTTCACACAATTTCTTCTTTAAAGCTAGGTTAACTTTCTCCTTCCATTTTATACAACAGCCACATTTCCTACCCACATGACCCCCAGGGCTTAGACCAAATTACCACCCACAATTCAATATCAACTTAAGGTAATCATATACACAAGAATTTATAACAAATTATTTTATGCTTGCATATATCAGAACTTACCCCTTAATACCCACATGGCACCATCTAGGCTTCCATTTTTTAGAAAAATTTCTGCTGCAATATTCACAATTTGACATCTTGGTGCTAACTTCTCAGGCCCTGTAAGTCCTTTTAAACTTGTAAAATGTATTTTTAATTCATATAGTTTATCTAAGACCTTCCTTCCCTAGAGTAAAAATAAAGAACACTATCAATCATTTCGAGTATTACAGAGATACACAGTCACACTGATAATTCTATAGAAGACAACCATCCAACCTGAGTCACCATTCTAGACTATGGCTCTGAACTGCTCCTTAAGCCCCTTCCTGCTTAGCCACAAAGAGGGAGGGGGCAGAAGAGTACACAGGGCTTTGCCTCATGTTAACCACCTGCTACCACCGGGCCCCTTTCAGCAGTTCTCCTGTCATGTGTTTTATACCTTGTGCTTCCCCTAAAGATTTCATTTGGCAAAAGGATTTCATGTCTTCGTGTGGAAAACTACTGATTATAACTTTTTGCACTTCTGTTGATCACTCTGAAATCCAGGAGGAAAAGTGAAAATGAAGATAATTTATTATCAAATTTAGATAAAGAATGACAGTAAAACAAAAGAAAAAAGGGTAAGATTGTTGGCTGAAAATTGTTACTTCAATTTAATAGATTAGTTCATATAGTCTACGTAAAAATTGTCTCTAGTCTGGACACTAGAAATTGAACATATATTATTATTTTATATCAGGGTCAGCAAATTTTTTATATAAATGACCACAGTAATTACTTTAGGTCTTGCATGTGACATTCCGTCAGTTGTACATTCTTTTTGGTTGTTGCTATTGTTTAATTTCTACCTCTTTAAAAATGTAAAAAACATTCTTAGCTCTCAAGATGTACAAAAACAAGTAGTTTGCAGATCCTCGTTTTATATTCTATTCTATACTATTTTGAGTCAGATGCACATTACGATGTCAAGGTACTTTCAATTTGACTATATAAGTAGTGCATTTTTCAAGAGATAGCTGCTTTAATTTCAATGGTTTTACTTTTAGGTTAAAAAAGAAACAGGTTTCATTAAAAATCATACTGAGATAATAAAATATTCAGTCAAAATAGGATATTAAAATTTTTCACTAAAATACAAACACAAATTCACCAGCCTCTTAATAATAACCTAATAAAATTAAAATATGCTCTAAATTTGAGCAAAATCAGTCTGTATTTTAAAAAGGGTTCTTCTTGTTAGGCATACCTTAATTTCTCAAGCATTCAATACCCAAGAAATTAATGCTATGACCAACCTTAAGCTAGATTATTTGGCCAGGGACAAGGTACCTTTTGCCCATTCCAGGCCTACCACACAGTAAGTGCTAATCCTCTTGGAGACCTTCTGTACAATGAGTCTGTTGTTTTTGAATTAAAAAAAATTCATGACTTTTGTATGTGTATGAGTGACCATGTATACTTAAATGTTATTAAACTCATTCAATTTTGAAATAACTGCTTTATAGAAAAAAGACAGTAACAAAAGATATATTTTAATAGTTGATTCAGTAGTGACCTCACTACTCTCAACTGTTCCACTCTTTATGTTACTCCATTCCTTAGCACTTCCTTCCTGTTTTGGATTTTCCTGTCCTCTACTTTACGTAACTTGACAACCTATAACTTCACCTGCCACCTCAGGGAAATCTAAAGAATGGTAGTACAATGTGATCTGGAATCACTAGATTACTTCTACGGTGAGCTAAACCTCAAAAGTAGACATCAAGATATATGGTATACAGTGTTCCAGATCATTCTAGGAGTTGCTTTTTAACGAGTTCTGTTAATTGTTGAGTATCCTAGGTTCTCAACAAAAGGTTCTCAAAAAAGGTGTCTTGAACTCTTGCAAAATTACAATGCTATCGATACTCAGGAACTAGTGAAATACTGTATTTGCCGGTGTATAAGACGATTTTTTGGCCCTGAAAAATATGCCTCCAAGTGGGGGGTCTTCTTATATGCCAGGTACACTTCAGACAGACTGCCCATAGTGCTTGCCCCGTGCCATAGTGGCCTCCCGATGCCCACCCACTTCATTCCACATACCGTTCAGGCATCAGCAGCGCTGCTGGGTGTATGCTCGGCTGTTATGCGATTTTGCTGTTATGCGATTTTACCACACTCGCAAAATCGCACACAGCCGACCATATAACAAACTCTGTATTTTGAGTGGAAATGTTAGGGGGTCGTCTTATACACCGAGTCGTCTTATACGCCGGCAAATACGGTATATGTTTGATTACATACAGCCTTGTGACAGTTTTCCTGCATGTCATAAGCATTTGAATATAAATATAAATGTTGAAATCAAATCTGATATTGTTTTACCTTTTATTTGGTGTGTGGAAGGTGTGCGGAAGAGGGGGTAGTCTTATACGGCGAGTATATAACAAACTCTGTATTTTGAGTGGAAATGTTAGGGGGTCGTCTTATACGCCCAGTCGTCTTATACGCCGGCAAATACGGTAAGTCCTGAATTAATAGTTGCTTCAAATAAATAGGACATTTAGTACAGCTTCCTAAGTGTTCCCCATACTGAAATTCTTCACAGTAGCCAGTCTCATGCCACCTCCTTTCCACATTTGCTTAATATACCACCTAATAATTCACTGACTAGTCTAGGGCTCATTTTGAATTGTGATGATTATTAGCAAATTTGGAACTTGCAGGATTAACCTATAGTCTGTTCAAAAATTTAAAACTAACACTCTCTATACCAAGCCAAAACAGAAACTGAATAAAGTACCTTGGTCCACTGCAACAGCTTGTGATAGAAGTACATAGCATTGATTCCGATTCTTCCCAGCAAAGTTTTATCTATTTCACTGTTTTGTGGATCTTTGCTAACTGAAAACAAAGCAGGCAAGTGGAAGAAAGTGAAATAGTCACTTAAAGTGATGAAAAAGGCAAATTAATATGGAATTATTTATACTACCACAAACACCAGGTGTCGACAAACTGTGGCCCCTGGCCAGTGTTTATATAGCCTGTGAGCTAAGAATTTTTTTATTTTTAGGGTTGTTTGAAAACAAAACAAAACTATGTGCCACAGATCATATGTGGTGTGTACAAAGCCTGAAATATTTACTATCTTGTTTTTTACAGGAAAAACTTGCCAACACCTGATAAAGAATATAGCAATGAAGAGCTCATGTGAGAAAAAGACTCAAAAATATATGAATTTTGTTGACTTGTAATAGTGAAGATAGTAACGATTCCAAAATTCAGGTGCTCCAATATAATTTGCTAGCCATAGTTTTACTAATATAAATGAAAAGAAAATTAAGAACATGAAACATCTGATATTAAAACACCAAACTTCGACCTTATATTATTAATCTAACTTAACAATAAAATAGATGGAAAAATTTACAAAGAGAAGGAGAAGTATCTGAAACATGCAATATTAACTTATCCCAACACGGAAAATATTAAGAACTCTACATTCCTATTAAGAACACTGCACCACACTCAGACACAAAACTCACACCAAAATAGTGACATTTTACCTGTTTCAGCAAATTCACAAAATGGAACACCTGGTCTCTCTTCTTTATAGTCTTTTGTTAGTGTTTCAGCAATAGAAGCACAAAATCTCTGGAAATCTGCAAATTTTTCACAGCCCATTTTCACGTTAATGTATAAATTTCCCAATTTGGTCCAGTCGCCTTTTTCTTTACAATGCTATCAGAATTATTAAAAACAAAACAAAACAGAAAGAAAGAAAGGAGTCATTTATGCAGACATATTATGGGGTAAGCATATGCAGGCATTAGATATACAGAAGTTAATAAGAATCTCTGCAAATCTTATAAACTTACAAGTGTTATAACATCAATAACATGCTGTTGTACAATTTGATTTTCTGAATATAGCACAGCCTTTGTAAGTTCTCAATGGCAATGTACATTTGTTTTAATTGCTAATACCCTTAATGATGTCACCCTCAAACCTGAACTAGACAGTGAAGATAGATTTTATGGAACTTCTTCTACACAAGGGGCTACAAAGTAAATTTCAGTAAACTTACTATCTTCCTATTATTTTCTACTATAAACTAAGAAATAATTTTCCACACCAACCAATCAAAAAATTGTTTCAAGGATATAAATACTAAAGACTAGACCAACAATCATTAGATGAGTACAAAGATGAGCTTCAATTAAAAAGTAAAATCATACGGAAAGTCCTCTATTTCTTATACTCTAAATGCTTGGCAAGGGCACACTGCACTTGGCTTTCCCCTGTCATTTCACATACTGCAGCCATCCATGGATCATGACAAGTAAGCCAACTTTGTTGTGCATCTAGTGAGTCTATCCAGCAACAAGAATTAAAGGCTAAGCTTTAGATTATTATACCTTAACATAAGTTAATTTTAAAATAATATTTTTATAATCGTCCACAATCCTAAAAATTATGTTTACATTTCAAAGTATAAAAAAAAAGTTAAACTTCTTTTCCTTGAGCATTTTCTCTGTATAAGAGCCACACTTCTAAAACTTTTCCTAATATGGGCATACTATTCAAAGTTTATCGTTATTGGTTTTCAAAGATCCCAGCAATTTATTGAAAACATAAGTGTCATACCTCTATTTCATTCAAGGCTAAATCTAAATCACAGGTCCAGCTCTTTTTAAATTGACTCACTTGTAACCTTTAACAATAGAAAAGAGTTAATTAAGTTCAACCTCCAAAAAGTCACTTATGGCTCTTAATTCATTTAGTTTACAGATTATACCTAAGAGACTGGAGGGAAAAGAATGCAGTAACGAACTATAAAAGTTCTCTAGAGCTAAAAAAATACCTACCTCACACTATTTCCTCTCCAAACCTTAGGCAACAAGAAGGAAAAAGCAAATTCCACATGAAACCATACCTTCGGTCTAATCTGAAGGCAGAAGATACCCAAGCTTCGAATAATTGTGGATAAAAAAAGAAAAAATATTAAACCTCAGCTCTTGTATCTCTATGGCATCCAGGGCACTACTAGAGCAAACCCACAGTCTATTTGAAATTTTCAAGAGGCTTCTTTCTGTCAGACACTGTCAAACTACAACTATTAACTTGTTTGGATCTAACTATTTAATAAACAATACTATTAACCTATTTCTTTTGACCTGTGGACATTGTGGACCAAGAAAGTTTGGAAACCTCTGTACTCAAGGATGATGAGATAACAGCAGCTGTGGAAGCTATCAGAAGGAGCTTTCTGGGCATTCTCAAGGGCTTTGGTGGTTGCTATCATTTGCACTTGATCAAATCTGATTTCATTAAAAACATATGGTTCATTTAAATACTTATGATTTGTAGACTTTTCTCTATATATGGAATAATTACATTTTTTGGGGGTAAAACTCATGGCTTTTCTTTTAATTGATATAGGTATATTACGGTATTACTCTTATAATTGTCACTTTTAAAAAAAAGGCCTTTGGAGGGCCATAAGCTGAATAGAGAAAGTAAATGAGAGAGAGAATGAAGGAGAGGCATTAAAATTATTTAGCTAATATGACAAGAAAGAGAATGAAACAGAAAAAAGAATTAAGGTAATTTATGTCCATGTAAGAGAGTGCACTAAGTGGAATTAAGTTGTGAAATGGGATAGGCAAGATTCCTTTTACATTCTATGTGCCAGGCTCTGAGATGAGATCAGGTACAGAGAAAGATTTGGTGAAGCTGGCCAGGAGGGTTGGCTAGAGGCAGCATGGCTAATGATAATGTGACTAAGACACAGCCAAGAGATGGGAGAAAGGCTTACAGTGGTCAACTATCTAGATGTTTGGACATGTGAACAGTGATAAGTGCTTTGCCTTCATCCATTATAAGTCCTCACCAATATACAAAGGGTGTCAAAAAAAGGTATACACATTTTAAGGAAAAAAACTATTAAAATTTAATACTCAGTATATACCGATAACAAAAGATGAACACAAGTCATGTGTGTACATGTTTTTGGCACTCCTGGTATACACATGCCTTAATTATAATGATTTTTCTTACCTGGATTTCATTTCCAGAACTGCAGTTATTTCTTGTTTGGAAGCCTGCACTTGGTATAAGAGCTTAACAATGTAGTTGAAGTGTTCTGGGTCAAGCACCATCCCAGCTTCAATAAGCTGTAGAAGAGGAAAAAAGTAGTCATTCTTATAAAAATACCAATGAGTTGAAAACCAATGTTTATGAAACAACTAAAGAGACTGATGGAAGAAGTGAAACAAAGACAAGTACAATTAAAATTCCTTAAAAAAACTGAAAGTATATTTTCTCCAAATATTTGAGAACCACAGTAAGACACCCTACTTCAAGAATTTAAAGTAAAAATGAAAATAATTTGAACTCGAAACTTGAATATTCTTCCTGTCCTCCAAGTTATCTCAACCATGTTATCACTTTACCTTTTGTTCAGTAACCTCATTGTGTCCTTTAGTACAGCACTGGCATATACCTTATTCCTGACTGTAAAGTTCCTGAGGAGGAGCAAACTGAAGTTTCTACAACGACTATGGGTGGTGAGTGATTGCTGATTCAAAAATTTCCAGGCAAGTATTTCTGTCAAGTTCTGTAATGTGGCTCTAGAAATAGTGACTGAAATACTTGTTCATCCGCTAGAGGAGTTCCAACGCTGCTTCCTAAAGAAAGTGAAGGTGGGGAAGTGTGGGGTAGGAGTATGGGTGGCTTCCTGCTGTTAGGCCTATTCTAAAATGGATGGCTAGGTAGTACCAAATACTAGGAAGTAGTCAACAAAAGTAAAAAATTTTAATGGATTTTTAGAGAGTCATAAGAAGTTTTTTTTGTTTAATGCCAAATATAAAATTAATTGCTAGCCACCATTTTTCTCTCTATCTACTTTCTTTGTTTTGGTCTTGGTTTTCTATTTATATATTGATTTGTGTATTTATTTTTGTTATAAATGACCTTAAATCTTTTGTAAGAGGAGAATTTTCTTTAATCATCTTTAAGGTGTAGATATGAGGACAGTTCATGAATCAGAAAGAAGTCACCTGGAGTGCTTGAAACTATTCATTTAAGGGGAAGGCCTGTCAGTCACTGGAGTCTGTTTATAAACCTTAATTCAGGAGAAAAAGGACATTTCTGAAAATAGAATTCTTTGGCATCAAGAATGTGAATAAAAGGCAGATTAAGAGTGTAAGTGGAAATTATTTTCTTGAAAATCATTCTTTCTTTCTAAATCATTATTGTTTTCATTGATTATTCATTATCAGAGAGTAAAAGAGATAAAATAAAACCATACCTTGCAAAAGATATCAATTAAAGCAGGTACAGCATTCCTTAATTTCATAGTTGCCACATGCTCAAATATTTCTAATAATATTTTCAGAGTAGGCTGGATAAAACAAAAGAAATTACACTCACTTTCATGTCTTCTCTCAGTACACCTTAAGTCTCTCAAATTCGTTTATGCTGAAAAACACAAGTGTTCTCTAGGAAGTAGTCAACAAACATGGAAATTTAACTTCTAAATTATACAAACAAGAAATAAAACAGAGGAAATAATTTATTAAAAAATACATATTTTCAGGTTACTTACCAGCATTTTAACCATTATGCTGAGGTTCACTACCTGAAATACTTCTTTCAATAAACAATGTTTGAGTAAAGAATTTAGAAGGTCATTTAGCACTTGTAAATCAAAGTGTATACTGGGAGAAAACCTTCTGTAATATTCCATAAACATGTTTACTGTGAATGAAAAAATATATACTGAAGTCATTTACTACTTTTAAGATATTCATCTTTTCTAAATTAGACAATTTTTCTATAGTCAAGATTGAGTCATATAAATTCATTTTCTTGAAAGGTACATTTCCAGTATCAGAAATAATTGACAAAAATAATTTAAAGCAAAAGTTAGTGGCAGTAACATTTGAAGTCAGCCAGGCATGTTAGGCACTAGATTGGGAGCTAACTCATGTGCTCTCCACCAAAAATAGGTCCAAATTGCCTCATACATCAGGGCCTCAGTATGAACTCCTAGGAAGCCACACTCCCAGTGATACTTCAGGCAGTGGCCTGGTCATGTATGAGCAACTCTATATTCTGGGGATGGATACAGACTATTTTGACACACACCCTTTCTTGTTGTTTTAACCCCACCAACATGTTGACCCTGGGGATATTTTTTACTCCAGTTTGTAATTATGAACATTCTACTAAAAATTACAACACTGATTAATTTCCTTTCAGAAAGTGGTTTTTAAATGTCAATTCAGTTTCTTAATCAATTTTCCATACAACACTTAAACCATTTCTAATTTCCCCCCCATTAATTTTACTACAATTATTTTAATTGGGGTCATTCATTAATTATTTTTTCCCCATTCCAAAATTTCCCAGGTCAAAATCTCCACACCTTAGCTGAAATTGCTCTAGTAAAAATTACTTTGCGTATTGTGTTAATTATTTCTGTCCAAATACTTATTACTGTCTACATTACTTGGTGTTCCTTGGGAAAGTGAGTAGCTACTGATAAAATTAAATAGTATGACAGAAAAATTAATGTTGAAGTTATAACAATTTTTAACAACTTTAATAGTACAGTATAATAATAGTAAGCTTCATTCTAAAGTTTCTTTATATACTACAATCTTTTTCCTGGGCACATACAGTTAAATTCTTCCTGCTATTCACTTTGCAGTATCTACACAGTTGCCTATATAAGAAGCAGATCAAGATATTGTTTAATGGATATGGAATTTCTATTTGGAATAGTGACAAAGTTCTGGAAACAAATACTAGTGATGGTTACACAACACTGCAAATGTATTTAATGCCAATGAATTGTATACTTAAAAATGGTTAAAGTGGTAAAATGAATTTATAGTAATCATTCCATTGTTTCATACCTGCACGTTGTAGCAAACATACATCGTTGATACTTATGTATTTCTTAAACACATCCATGCAAACCTGCAAAAGTCACAAAAAATGTAAAATTACCTTTCTATATTTCATAAAAACTACACCAATTTCAATATTGTCTTTATACTTATTCCATTTCTTTTTAAGTGAACTTAAAGCAATGGAATAAAGAAGCTGACATTAGGTTAACCTGCAGATTTGAAATGCACACTGAATTCATTACAAAAACCTTATATAGAGAAGCGCTGTCAAGAAAATACAGTAAAAATTAGCAAGAAATTGGGGAACGGGAGAAAATCCTTGAACACTACAATGAATAGCTTTATTTAGGTCATTAAAAAAATAACCATTTACTGACTGAAGAATAAACTCAAGGATTAGTACAGAGTGGCTAGAAATAGACCCACTTATATACAATCAGATAATTTATGACATGGTGACACTGCAGTGCAGTGGGGAAAAGATGGTCCTTTTAGTAAATGGTGTTGGGTAATCTGGAGATCCACATAGGAAAAAAATGTATCTTAAACTCATATCATAAACAAAAATCAATTCTAGATGGCTTAGAGTTCTAAATGCAAAAAAGTAAAACTGTTAAAGGAAGATATAAGTGAACATCTTCATATTTTGGCAAAGATTTCTTCAACAGGATGCAAAAAGTTAACACCGTAAAAGAAAAAAAATTCACAAAATTGGACTCTATAAAATTTAAGAAATTTTGTTTATCAAAGGCACCTTTAAGGGAGTAAAAAGGCAACTTGTAAAGTAAAAAAGGTATTTGCAATATATACATCCTACAAAGAACTTGTATCTATAATGTGTAAAGCATTCTTAAGATGGATAAGAAAAAGACAAACCCATAGGATATAGGCAAAATACTTAGATATTTTAAAACAGGGGATATCCAAATGTCCAATAAAGATCTTGAAAGAGGTTCAGTTTCATGCAACATCAGGGAAGATATCATTCCCTACCCAACCAAAAAGGTTAAAATCAAAAGGCTGATAATACCAAGAGCTGGGGAGGATGTGAAACAACCAGAACTTTCCGACATTGCTGGTGAGAGTATAATTTGGTAAGTCACTATGGAAATGCTTGGCAGTATATATTAATGTTGAACATATGCAGACTCTGTGACCCAGCAATTCCATTTTTTAGTATAACCCATCATGTGTACATATGTTCACCTAAAGACATGCAGAACACTGATAGCATCACTATTGTAATCACCAAATTTAGAAACTATCCAAATGCCCATCAAAAGTATAGTTATCAACCAAAATATTTTGATCTACTCACACAATGGAATATTCATTACATAGCAATGAGAAAGAAAGTTCTACAATTAAGTAAAAAAATATAGATGAATCTCAAAAATATTGAAAAAAGCCAGAAACAACAGCATACAGATAGCATGATTTCATTTATTTAAAGCCCCAAATCAGGCAATGTTCATCTATTAAGAGCCAATGAAAATCTAAATTAAAATATATGAGTGAGATGGTTATTAAAATATCTCTACTTCAAAGAATTCATGTATTTTACCTTTTCATCCTCTTGATCAGGCACATGAGCAAACTTGCACTGTGATCGCTCACAGCCACGTAACGTATTGAAATGAAATTTGCAGTATCTATGGGGTATCATCAACCCTAGGGGCTTCTGGGACACCTAGAAAATTAGACAAATTCCCTTTCTTTGTTAATTATAAAACACTTATAATCAAGTGAGAAAGCATTTGAAGCAACTAGAAATATATTCCCCAAACAGTATCAAGATAAATTGCTTGCTGACTTGATAATAATAAAACTTCAGTTTATATTTTTTAAAATAATGAAAAAAATCAATTTAAAGTGAGATGTCTGAATTTTTGCAATTTCCTTTAGTGTAAAATATTCCATCAATGTTGTTATTGTTTTACTTTACGTCTTTTTAAAAGCTTATACATTCCCTCTTCCTTCTCATGTATCTGCCTCTTTTGCTTTCACAAAAGTTAATTCTATTATATCATATTTAAAATGCATTTACTAGAATCAACATTTTCCTGTTTTTTTTTGATTAACAGGAAAAGGCAACTGACAGAATCAAAGCTTTTTACAACAGAATTTTCCTATAAACTGCTCTATATCACTAGCTGTCCCTTTCATCACAGGAAATACTCATTCTGTATTTTCTGTTATGAATATCCGCCCCCTCCTCTGCTTTCAATCTCTTACGTTATTTGTAAATATCCTCTGAATCACTACTCATTTTCTGCCTCTTACCACCAACCCGAATTCAAAATCTGTATGATGTCTAGAACTGCTTAAAAAAATGACTCAGGGAAATACATCCAGAAAGGCCCAGAGTATGTGCTTTATAAGATTATTTTTTTAAATGGTGGACTTACCCCTACATTTTTTTCCCTCGTAATTGTTTCACTAGTTTCAGGATTCTGCAACTTTGGGAGAGAATGTTTTCCTAGAAATCTGAAATCTAGAAATGATTAAGAATGACATTACACACCAATAGGTAACAACTTATTCCCTTCATAACAATGGAACAGGTGACCACTACTATCTGTTTTAAAGTTTCACTTGGACTTTTCATGCTCAATTCACAGGCTGCGCTGCCATGGGGGTGTTCCTGTGATATACAGAATGATTTACCTCTTAGGTGCTCCTTAAGTGTTTCTAGACCTACATTTAGAATTTTAAGTTCATTACAAGCTGAAGATACTTTCTTAAAAGCCTTAAAACAGCGTTGAGCACTACATTCAAATCATTGTCTCTGAGTTAGGTTTATTGTGTATAGTCTTTGTCTAAGGGAAGATATCTACTGAGAAACTCAGGTGCTACAGACTGAATTGTGTCCCCATCAAACCCATATGTTCAAGCCCTAACCCCCAATGTGACTTTATTTGGAGATAGGGGTTTTAATGGAAGCATTAAAGTTAAATGGGATCACAAGGGTGAGGCCCTGATTTGACTGAATTGGAGTCCTTATAAGAAGTGACACCAGAGAGCTTGCTTTCTCTCTCTCCACCAAGGAAAGGCCATGTGAGGACTTTGCAAGAAGGCAGCCATCTGTAAGCCAGGAAGAGAGGCAGAAACTGAAAACTACTGGAACCTTGATCTTGGACTTTTAGCCTCTAGGACCATGTGAAATAAATCTGTTGTTTAAACCTAGTCTGGTATTTTGTTATGGCAACCTGAGGTGATGAATATACCAGGTATCACATCCCTTAATGTTGGTCTTTTAAAATGAGAATACGGACATTTAAAATTTTTTTCTAAGATAAAATAATAAAAATGTTTTTTATTGACCAGATTCTGGTCAAGGTAGCAGAGTAGGTTAATGCTGTGCTTATGTCCTCCCATGACCACATACAAATTACAACTAAATTATAGATCAACCTGAAGAACCATCTGAAGACTAGCTGAACAGAAGTTATAAGGAATATACAGAAGAAGCCACATCGAGACTGGTAGGAGGGATGGAGATGCAAAATGGGCTGGTCCCACACCCACATGTGGCAGTTGACCATCAGGAGGGATATCTCAGCTGCAAAGGTTCCACCAAAAAATGAGGGGTCCCAGTTCCACACCAGGCTCCTTAGCCTGGAGCACCAGTGCTGGGAAGAAGAGCCCCATAACATCTGGCTGTGAAAAATCAGCAGGGATTCCATTTATCTGGAGGAGATGGAGGGCTGCTGGAAACCCAGGTGTTCTCTTAAGTGGCCTATGCACAGACTTACTCACAGGTACTCACCCTAAGTTCTGGCAAAGAGACAGCAGCTTGAAAGGTGCCAGAGACATACAGGGAGAAAATTGTGGGCTTTAGGGTGAGGGCTGGAAGGACAGCTGCCATTGTCCTTATGTAAGCCCTCCTTCCCCCGCAACCCCCCGCCATAGCCTATAGGTGGGTACCAAATCTGAATCTGCATTCATCTGGTGAACAATTGCCCCATCCTGATGTCTCCCAGAAATCTTGCCCCACTCAATTTGCACACCACCAGAGGCTCTTTCAGGGGTAGGCAGGTAGCTTCTGCCCATGCTGCCATCTTCCTTAAAGCTCTCAAAGATCCTTAGGCCCCAGGCAGGTGGCGCTGGACTCAGTGGATCCTGTGTGACTTATCAAGTGGCCCAGGCTCAGCACTGGTGCCAAAGTTGCTTTTGCATTAACCTGGTGAACACCACTGGCCTCACCGTGGTGACTCGCTCAGACCCTGCCCCATTCAACTCACATACTGCCCCAGGGTCTTTAAGTGGCTGTGCCTCATGGGGAGCTGGCAGGCAGTAGTTGGCCTTGGGGTACCCTGTGTCTTTTGTTGAGCAGCCCCAGGCCTGATTCTGGTGTCAGCCAGACTTGGTTCATAGTGTGGCCTCTCCCATGTGCCTCCAGGTCTAGCACAGGCAGTAATCAACCACAGATCACTTTGTAGCTTCGACCAGGTAGTTGCAAGCCAGTCACAGGCAGTGGCTGACCTTGGCCTACATAGGAGCCCCTCTCAAGAGGCCCCAGAACCAACACACCTAGAGGCTGGCTTTAGACCACATCAGAGCACCATCAGATTAGCCCCATAAGTGGCACACTAAAAGGTGGTTTCGGCAGGTACCAGAGCCCATCGGGGCAAATCTCGCTCTGTAGGGTCAGCCCCACACAGCAGCTTGGATGCTGTGGTCATGGCCAATCCCCACAGATAACCTGAGGGTCAATCCCAGCCAACAGCATCAAGGCAACAACTACAACAGGAGGTCACACAAAACCTACACAAGGGACACTCCTGGAGCACATGTTGCAGGTGATCAGAGAGACTGTACCACGGGGCCATACAGGACACCTACTACATAAAACCACCTGGTAAAGACTGAGAGACATAGGAGATCTACCTAATACATAGAAATGAACACAGAGAGACAGCCAAAATGAGGAAACAAAGAAATACATCCCAAATGAAAAACAGGAGAAAACTCCAGAAATAGAATTAAACGAAATGGAGGCAAATAACCTACCAGAGACAGAATTCAAAACACTGGTTATAAGGATACTCAAGGAACTTAGTGAGAACTTCAACAAAGACAGGAAGCATAAAAAAGGTCACAAAAACCATACAAAAGAACTAGTCAGAAATACAATAATTGAAATGAAGAATACACTAGAAGGAATCAATAGCAGATCAGATGGAGCAGAGAATCAAGTCAGTGATTTGCAAGGCAAGGTAACAGAAAACACCCAATCATACAACAACAAAAAAAGAATTTAAGAACATGAGGATAGTTTAAGGGACCTCTGGGACAACATCAAGCATAACAACATTCACATCATAGGAGTAGCAAAAGGAGAAGAGACACAGCAAGGGATCAAGAACTTATCTGAAGAAATAATGACTGAAAACGTCCTAACCTGGTGAAGGAAATAGATATACAAGCCCAGGAAGTGCAAAACAGATAATTAAAAACACATCATAATTAAAATGCCAAAGATTAAAGACAGAATCCTAAAAGCAGCAAGAAAAAGACAACTAGTTACGTATAAGGGTGTTCCCATAAGACTATCAGGTGATTGCTCAACAGAAACTTTGTAGGTCAGAAGTGATTGGCAGGAAATAGTCACAGTGATGAAAAGTAAAGACCTACAACCAAGATTACTCTATCCAGCAAGGCTATTTAAAGTTGAAGGAGCGATAAAGAGCTTCCCAGACAAGGAAGAAATAAAGAAGTTCATGACCAGGAGGAGAAGGAGGAGGAGGAGGGATGATCAGAAGTATGAATAATAAAATGGCAATAACTACATATCTATAAACAATTACTTTAAATGTAAGTGGATTATATGTTCCAATTAAAAGACATAGGGTGTCTGAATGGATAAGAAAACGAGACCCTTACGTATGCTGCTTACAAGAGAGTCACTTCAGATCGAAAGACACACACAGACTGAAAGTAAAGGGATGAGAAAAAGGTATTTAATGAAAATAAAACACACAAACAAAAGCTAGGTAGTAATATTTATACCAGACTAAACCAAAGGTTATAACAAGAAGCAAAGAAGGACCCAGTAATTCCACTTCTGGGTATTTATCTGAAGAAACCCAAAACACTAATTCGAAAAAAACATATGCATCCATATGTTCTGCAGCATTATTTATAATAGCCAACATATAGAAGCAACCTAAGTGTCCACCAATAGATGAATGGATAAAGAAGAAGTGGTACATATATACAATGGAATATTACCCAGCCATAAAAAAGAATGACATCTTGCCATCTGCAACAACATGGATGGACCTAGAGGGTATTATTTAAGTGAAATAAGTCAGAGAAAGACAAATACTACGTGATTTCACTTGTATGTGGAATCTAAAGAACAAAATAAATGAACAAATAAAACAGAAACACAAAGATACAGAGAACATTTTGATGGTTGCCAGATGGGAGGGGGGTTGGGTCACTGGGTGAAAAAGGTGATGGGATTAAGTACAAATTGTAGTTCCAAAATACTCACAGGGATGTAAAGTATGGCATAGGGAATATAGTCAATAATACTGTAATAACTATGTATGGTGCCAGGTGGGTACTAGACCTATAAAGGGGATCACTGTAAGTTATTTAAATGTCTCACCACTATGCTGTACACCTAAAAATAATATTGAATGTCAACTGTAATTGAAAATATAAAAATAAAAAAATGTTTATTTTAAATAATTTCATTTTTCACTTCAGCAGCATCCAGATATAATTTGGAACAAGCTGAAGTTTTTGCTGCATAGCTTTTCAGTAATTTTCATTATGAAACCTATAAGGCTTTTTAGGATAAAATACGTGACCATCATGGACTTGCAGCTATAATACCAGTGGCATGAGGTCAGTAATGGGAAGATACAGAAGATTTTACTGTAGTAAGGTCATTCCTTAGTCTACCTTATTTTTATCAAAGCATCATGAATTATAAAAGAATTGACACGAATTCTAAAATAAACTAAAATATATTTCAGGTATAACCTGTAATTTACCTGTACTACCATTATCACATAAATACAGATATTTCAGAAATTGTTCCAGCAAAAGTACTATGTAAAGGTCCACAAACCTTTTAATTTTAACACATTCTATGCTTGTTTTGATTTTTTTAAACCTTTTCTTGTTTTTGGTGGAAAAACCTCCTATATAATTTCTATCTTATCAAAAGCCAACAGAACTTAATAAGAAAATGGTACCAATTGTCCAGGGCTCCAGTAATGTGTCTTCTTGATAAGCATTTAGATTTAAAGGTGGCACTGATAAGCACAGAGGTTTGGGGCCCAGTGCTATTAACTGACCTTCACCAACCATATTCTCCGCAATTTTAGAATCTTTGCTGTGTGAGCAGAAAAAGCAAAATCAGAATTTAAATTTATTACAAAAACATTAAAGTAATGAGAATCAAATTAAGTGGAAACACAACCTAATGCTATGTATATGCTATATTCTGTGCTGTATGCTTTGATCATACTATGATTCGTCAGTATTTTCAACAGGTTGTTTCTGCCTTCTTAACTAGAAAACCAAAGCTTATTAAATGACTCAGGGAGGGGTAGGAGTGAGGCAGTGGGGTTAAAACTAGAGCAAAGTATTTTTGATCATGCCAGACAGAAGGTCTGAGGAGGAATTGGGCTAGCATTCTAATCCAGAAAAGATCATTCAACTACTCTATTGCAAATGCAATAAAATGAATGAATCATAAATTAATCTTCAGGACAAGTATATATAATAAATTGATACATGTACTTGAGAGCTTCCTTTGGGAAAAAGCTATAAAAATTGTATTGTTCTTTGTTGTTGATTTAAACAGCTTTGCCTATATTCTAATATGTGAGATTCTATATAACCAATTTTAGAAAAACTTAAACTGGAGGTGAGTTGTCTAGCAAAATAACTTAAGCAAGGGGGAGGGGAGGAAGTATCTCAGAACTGACAGATATAAATGAATTTACCTTTTAGGAGAAAGATCATTCAGATACTATAATATTTTACCTTAAAAACAATTCTAATAAGCTTTTCCAGGCTTAGAAGAGAATAAAAATAGTAAAAAGAGGGGTACACACTTGTAACAGTTGAAACTTAGGCACACTGATGGAGTTTAAAAATTATACACAAAATAGGTACTTACTTCTCTCCCCAACGTGGGACATCACTGATATCAATCAACATAACCCCCCTTCAAATAAAACAAAAGTGATAACATAAAACAAAGAAATAGGAATTATGGAATTTTATAGATGGAAGAGGTTCCCTAGCAAAAATCTTTAATTTTTGATTGGATGGCTGAAGCCCAGGGTAATGTAGTGACTTGCCCAATGTCATACTCCTGGTCATTATGGCAGAGCCAAGGAGATAAAATTCAGCAGTATTTAGTTTGTAAGCAAAATGCTTTTAACATAAAAAAAAGTTAATCCTGTCACTTTTTTAAATCTCCAAAGTGTTTGAGCTCTGAGCAACAGCGGTTCGATGCCCAGCCCGAGCTGAGCAGCCGCTGAGCTGCCAACAGGTAGCAGGATGGCTCAGCTAAAAAAAAAAAAAAAAATCTCCAAATGGTCAGGAATCATACTGGGCTCCTGTGCCAATCTAATTCTTACCTAGGCTTTTCCTTAATACAATTGTTCCCAAACGTTAGCATGTATCCACAGCTGGTGTATTGTTGAAACACAAATTCATGGACCCCACCTCCAGAGTTTGTGATTTCTTAGGATGGGGGGTGGGACCCAATAATTTACATTTCTGACAAGTTCCCATATGGTGCTGCTGCTCCAAGGATCACACTTTGATAGAAAAGGACTTGAACACATTTGTCACCTGTATTTGCCTCAACAGCAAAATGGGAGCAGAGGATGGATCAGATGATCTCCAAGGTGTCCTCTAACTCTAAATTTGGTATTTGTATACGTTCTAGTAAGTGTACTGTAACTTCAGTACTAATCACTGCAGTTGCATAAAATACCTGCAAACTGCAGTGTTCACCTGACTTCGGTCACTCTTCCCTTCATAAAAGTCATGTACACATTCTTTTTTCTTTTATCATTATTCCTTATTCCTTCATAAAAAAAAGAATTCTTATTGGGTAACTGTGTTTTTTTCCAGGACCTATCAGCTCCAAGTCATTGTCTTTCAACCATCCCATGCAGGAATTGAACCGGCAACCTTGTTGTTAAGAGCACATGCTCTAACCAACTGAGCCATCCAGCAGCCCCCTCAAAAAATATTTTTGATGGTTGTTAATGAGTCCCATCTGCAAGCATTATTTTTTTTTCATTAAATTTATTGAAGTCACACTGGTTAATAAAATTATATAGGTTTCAAGTGTAAAATGAAAGAACTGTATGAGAACTATCTCACTCCATCAGAAAGAGCAATATAAAGATAATGTGTATACCAGAAGGAGAAGAGAGGGAGAAAGGAACAGAGAGCCTATCCAAACAAATAATTGATAAGAACGTCCAAAACCTATAGAAAGAACTGGATCCTCAAATCTAAGCAGCAAACAAAAAAATATTTCAACGACTCAAAAATTTAAGTGACAGCTTTTAGGTAACTTACAGTATCCCTGACATCTAGGTATACCTGACACATTGAATAATACCCATATATGGCTTATGGCCCAGTACTCAAGCACATACAGCAGAGAATGAAAAGCACACTCATGATACAAATTATATGAATAACTGTTTTAAAGTTACATGATTAAAAATTATGTTACAGACCTTTTGCAAGCTTCATGAATATTTTCTTTTTCTTCATTATGAACAGTCACTTTGCCTGAAAATTTACACTGTGAAGATATAGTTAAAAAGTACAGATGAATATATCTGTATATGAGGCTATGAGGCTTACCAGATTTATTAGAATGCATTAGATGTTAATTAAACCACTGGCTTACGGCCAACCCAGAAAACAATTCTACTCTACATTATTTAAAATGCTGAATGAATATTGACTTAAAATTTTCCACTGTTGCTTAAGAGAAAAACTAATATAAATCAATATATTTTCTCAGCTTTTGATGTCACCTTTTAATTATACAAGCCAACATTTCAAATCCTTACGAACAATTAAAGTTATACTTCTTTTATTAAGAAAAGCAGTTTCTAATAATTTTTATTTTTAGGTGGTATTTATGAACATAAATTTCTTTTTCATTAGAAATATTTATGGGTATTTAAAGCATTGCTGTACTTAAAACATTTCAAAATTAAGTGTTTTAGGACCTGTGATTTCCTAATTACTATAGGACCTGTGATTTCCTAATTACTATAAGAAAGTTATACATGCTCAAATATTAAACTTTTGAAAAAACAGGCACAAGAAAATAACCCCTCAAATCACCCATCACTTGAGCAGTCAGAGATAACCACTTTATATTTTACTACCATGATACTACTTTTTGCAACTTCCTGTGAATCTATAATTATTTCAAAATAAAAAGTAAAAAATATAAAGTACACTAGATTTTAACTATCTGGAACTCAAAGCTACAATCATTAAGCAACTACTACCAAGGTAAACCTAAAAAATTGTTACATATGAATTTTGAGTATAACTGATACATAGGAAAAATAATAAACAAGGTCTCTGAAAAATACAGAATATATATTATGCATTTATACATACATATGTATATATGAATACTACATCTATACATACACAATATATTCACATACATATGTATGCACATATACACATAAATATAATATTTTCATACATCAATATAAAATCAATAAAGAAGCATTGCTAAAAATTCACAGAAAACCATACACTCATATAAAAGTAGAAGAATGCTAGGTTAGGCATGTGTCCCGTAAGTCAACCTATTTACCCTTTAAAGTTCCTAAAAACCCTGTAACTGTACTTATGCAAAACATCAAGCAATATATTCCATGGCCTGAAGAATGTGACTTTTACTCAACAAAAAAGAGTTACACTTGTCATCCGACAACACTAAGATGAATTTCTGTATCACCACTATGAAGACCAAAAAATAAGAAAATGCACAATTCCCTGGTACCTTTTCATCCAAGTCTGAGCTTCTTATGTGTTCATCAAAGTCTCCCAGTTTTTCATTTTGAGACGTCTCATTAGTAACTTCTAAGGAAATGTTTGCATCTTTAAAATCATGTTTTATCTCATTTTCTGAAAAGAAATAATATTCAACTGTAGAAACTACAAATGACAAAATAATCAAGTCATTCAAACATTATTCTAAAAATGAGTTAGAGGCCAATGTGACAAATATGAAGTACAGTTTTCAGCAAATTATACAATTATTCCTCCCTGTCAAATAACTCCAATCCATGGTACAAAAAGAACTTGCAGTAAGACAAATTGGGACATCAAGATAAATTTAAGAATGTTTCTTGATCAACTCCAGTTCTTTTCCTTTATAAAAAATTTCCAATTACAGTTGACATACAATATTATATTAGTTTCAGGTGTACAACATAGTGATTATTTATATAATGTGCAAAGTGATTGCCCCATTAGTCTAGTATGCATCTGACACCATAGTTACTACAATATTATTGACTATATTCCCTATGCTGTATTTTACATCCCCATGACTGTTTATATAACTGACAATATGTACATCTTAATCCCTTCCCCCTTTTTACCTATTCCCCCCACACATTCTTATCTGGAAACCATCAAAATGTTTTCTGTATCTATGAGTTTGTTTCAGTTTTATTTATTGTTTTTTAGATTCCACATATGTGGTATTTGTCTCTTTGTCTCACTTATTTCACTTGCATAATACCCTCTTGGTATATTCATGTTGTTCCAAATGGCAAGATTTCATTCTTTTTTTATGGCTGAGTAATATTCCATTGTATGTATGAACCACATCTTTTTTTATCTAATTGTCCACTGATAAGCACTAAGGTTGCTTTCATATCTTGGCTAGTTCAAATAATGCTGCAATGAACATAGGGGTGCATATGTCTTTTCAAATTAGTGTTTTCAATTTCTTCAGATAAATATCCACAAGTGGGAATGCTAGGTCATAAGGTAGTTCTATTTTTAATTTTTTGAGGAACCTCCATACTGTTTCCCATATTGGCTGCATTAATTTACAATCCCACCAATAGAGCATGAGGGTTTTCTTTTCTTCACATCCTCCATCCTCAACAACACTTGTTTATTTATTGATGATAGCCATTCTGACAGGTGTGAGGTGATATTTCATTGTGGTTTTAATGTGCATTTCTCTGATGATCAGTGATGTTGAGCATCTTTTCATGTCTATTGGCCATCTGTATTTCCTCTTATGAGAAATGTCTCTTCAGATCCTCAGCTCATTTTTTAATTGGATTGTCTTTTTGGTGTTAAGTTGTATGAGTTCATTATATATTTTGCATATTAATCCCTCATCAAATGTATCATTGGTGAGTATCTTCTCCCATTTAGTTTGTCTTTTCATTTGTTGACAGTTTCCTTCACTATGCAAAACCTTTTTAGTTTGGTGTAGTCCCATTTGTTCATTTTTTCTTTTGTTTCCCTTGCCCAAGGAGATATATCCAAAAAAATATTACTAAAGGCAATGTCAAAGAGTTTGCTATGTTTTCTTCTAGGAGTTTTATGGTTTTGAGTCTTACATTTAGGTCTTTAATCCTTTTTGAGTTTATTCTTGTGTATGGCGTAAGAAAGTGATCCAGTTTCATTCTTTTGTAAGCGTCTGTCCAGTTTTGCCAACACCATTAATTGAAGAGACTGTCTTTTACCTCATTGTATATATATTCTTGCCTCCTTTGTCATGGATTAATTGACCATATAGATGTGGTTTTATTTCTAGGCTCCCTATTCTGTTCCATTGATCTATGTGTCTGTTTTTATGCCAGTACCATGCTGTTTTGATTACTATGGCTTTGTATATCAGGCAGGGTGATACCTCCAACTTTGTTCTTTCTTTTTAAGATTGCTTTGGTAGTTCAGGGTCTTCTGTGGTTCCATATGAATTTTAGGATTATCTGTTCTAGTTCTGTGAAAAATTCCATTGGTATTTTGATAGGGATTGCATTAACTCTATAGATTGCTTTGGGCAGGTAGTATGGACATTTTAATGATGTTAATTCTTCCTATCCATGAGCACAGTATATGCTTCCATTTATTTGTATCAGCTTTAATTTCTTTCATCAACATCTTACACTTTTCCAAGTATGTCTTTTACTTAATTGGTTAAATTTATTCCTCAGTATTTTTTCTGATACAATTGTACATGGGATTGTTTTCTGAATTTCTCTTTCTGATAGTTTATTATTGGTGTATAAAAACACAACTGATTTCTGAATATTAATTTTGTATCCTGCTACTCTACTGAATTATCAGTTCTAATAGTTTTTTGGTGGAATCTTTAGGGTTCTCTCTATATAGTATTGTCAGCATGTCTAGCTATTTTCAATATACAGTATAACCTTGGATTGCGAGTAGCTTGGTTTGCGAGTGTTCCCCAAAACGAGCAAACACTTCTAATACATTTTAACTTAGTAAATGAGCGATGTCTTGCAATACGAGTAGTTTGTTTCTGGAACAAATTATGCTCTCAAACCAAGGTATTACTGTATTTTTAAAACTTGAAAGTCAAAGTAAAATTAACTTTCAAATTAAGTCATTTCCTGTAATGAGCCAGGTATTGAAACTATAACTAGCTGTTAATTATAAAAATGTTTTAAAAGACTCATATTTAAAATGTGATAAAGCTTAAATATATATTTCAATTTCAAAATAAGAATACAAAATTACTAAGATCAAGTATTTATCTTCTGTAGATAAAACCTAACAAAATTACTTATTTAATAATCAAGTAAAAAATTTCTCAAAACCTGATCTTCCCACCAGGCAATTAAAACTGAGAAAAACTGACAAACTGTAAAACATATGGTTAACAGACTCTAAAATGAAAAGCATCCTATTTTAATGAATTCATTTTGACTACACCTAAATGGATATATAAAAAGAAACTTTAATATTACATATTCTGAAAATGTCATATTTTACCTGCTGGCAAGGAAGCCCCGATCTCTGACTTCATCAATCCAGGATCCAGTACTGGAAGTTCTCTATTATAAGGCAAACAGAACTTAAACATTATGTCTTCTGCATGTCTAGTTCTCTAAACATTATATAATACCAGCTTTAGCAGCTGGTGAACATTGGCTCAGGTCCTCAAAGGGCAGAGTAGTATACTGGGACTCAGAACCCAGCACACCCAAGTAGATGCCTCATTTGGTACTTTAATCCCATATACCTCAATTGTTAGGGAGTGCTGTCATTCAAACTTTGTTACTCAGAGAGAATCTGATGACATATACCAAGCATTTAAAAATTATTAAAAGTTATTATACCAATACAAGATAATGTTTAACTTCTATTAAGCATGTGTATGTCTTACTGCCAGTGTAAAAGGAAGACAGTTTGAGAGCAGTTGGAGTCTTTTTTTTTTTTTTGTAATAGCCTCTGAAGACAACACAGCGTCCAAAAGTTAAAGCTATGGAGATCAGAGTTAGATCAATCTGGGTTTAAATACTGTTCTGAGGGCCGGCCCAGTGGCTCAGTTGGTTAAGAGCTCACTCAAGAGTATAAGCTCTGAGCAACAGGGTTGCCGGTTTGATTCCTGGCCTGAGCTGAGCTGCCAACAGGTGGCAGGATTGCTCAGCTAAAAAAAAAAAAAACCACAAAAAACTGTTCTGCCACTTTCTGTGTTAACTATGGAAAAATTATTTGGTATCTTTGAGTGTAACCATATCAGTAAAATGAGAATACTACCTACCCACGAGGTTATTGTGAGGATTAAATGAGATATAAAGTTCTTAAAGACTAGAGCACAGGCTCAACAAATGAAAACCACATCTATAAGGCCACTCAAAAACAAATGACCAAACATCATCCATTTTCAAAAATTTAGACAAAAACATATAAAAGTGCATAGAATAAAATGCAATAAATGCCCATAATTCCCACCATTTATTCAATTAATAAATGGGTTTATTAAACCTATCCTTTAGCTTTACAACTGCTTATTGGTTCAGGATTACTTAATAGCCAAGAAAAAGGAAAAATCAACCAAATATTTTATATACACCATTCTTTGAGGTCTTTTCAAAACATGTATTTTTTCCCCAAAATAACCCTAGAAACAATCAGAAGTATATAGTTTAAAGAATGGGAAAATAATAATGAAAACAGAAGATACATACATATGCAAATCTTCTTCCCCAATTCATACCTCTTCAGACTCATATCTGTCTACTATTTTCTTTTCATTATTTCAAAGTTGTTTCCAACTCAACATGTCTAAATTTGACTTCATGACCAGCACTCCTCCCCAGTCCTGCCCCTTTGCATCTGAGAATTGTAATGCCCCTCTTTGAAATAAGACAGAAATCAGGTTATCATTCTTAACTCCTACTTCTGGCTGTATTCCCATGTGATTAATCAATCTACACTTCCTAAACCTCTCTCAAATCCACTTCCACTTCTGTTTGAAGTCACCATGTCCTTTTGATCGAATTATTACAGTATCTCCCTGCCAATTTATTCTCTACACCACAGCTATAATTTTTAAAATGTAAATCTGATCATATTCTCTTGCTACTTAAAAGTTCTTCAGTGAATCCCTGTATGCTCTTAAGACAAAGTTCAAACTCACCATGAATTCTAGTTTATCTAGGATGGTCTATTTATGCCTGTTATCCTATCATATTATTACTAGTTCCCCCATTTAATCTCAAAAATTTTATAATTCAGAAGATAAATTCTATGGTCATCCTATTTGTAAAGCTCTTCATGACCGAAATTTCTGCACATTCTGTAGCTTCATTTCTTGCCATTTGAACACTAAGCCATGGAATGTTATTTTTCAGACTCTTATTGGTAAAACAGGTAGACAAACCCGAGTTGATTTAATTCTTGGGGGAAGTAGTCTCAGACCTGGTTAGGGAGAATTTTTAAGGTGTTTAAGTTATATTTCAATGTTTATTCATTGTCAATCTCCATATATTAAAATCCAAAGCATTAGAAGGATATTAGAACTATTGGGTTGTTGGAAAAGTCATGACTCATTTTTGCAACGAAAACCCGAAAAAAATACGTCATGACTTTTCCGACAACCCAGTAATTTACTAGACTATCAAGGGAGACTAATAATTAAGCTCTGTGAGGACAAGGCCCATGTGTGTCTAGTTGCTCTCTGTATACTCAACACTTAACACCTCCTGGCCAGACACCAGAGAGACCCAAATGAAGATGCCTCTCTCCTGTCTAGGACCTCCCAGTATAGGAGGAGGATCACATACAGCAGACATAATACACTGAGATATATGCCAAGGGAACTATCGGAACGAATCCTTAGAAAAACATCTCAGATGTGATTTGAAGGATAACCAAATGAAAAGAAAGGGACTTTCAGATAAAGAAACATGAAAAAGGATTCAAGTACATGACATATTGTGGAAACAGTGAGCTTCCTACTGTGCTTATCTTTTATTAGCCTTTCACCAATAAGAAGCAGACCAGAGCTGCTGACGCTGTCTGGGCCTAGCCCCCGCATCTTCAATTTCTATTCCTGTAAAATAGAAACTCATTCTAACAGGCTTCAACTTCTCAGTGCCTTTGAGTGAGGAAAAAGGGTTATATGAACTAGCAACTGACTGCTAAAATGAAGAGAGCTAAAATTTGAAATTATATTTTAGGTTTAATTTAGTTCTAGAACCATTAACAACTTTCTACACAACTATTAGCAGACCCACTGGTTCTCATGCCTCCATTTCTCCCTGTTAAGGTTTATCCTAGTACTATAGATGATTGTAAAACTGATGTTTCCAACGAAGGGAAAAAAAAATTAAAATAACTATTGAGGAAATTTTCAAGTTTATTTAAAAACCAAAACTTCAAAAGCAGATTGAAAGAAAAAGAGGAGCCCATAAAAGTATAATTGGTGCTTTTGAAATGAAGGGAAATTAAGTTCAAAGACAATAAGAAAAATTATCTGATGTAAATTTGATACTACAAACCAAAATGGTTCACCTTGTCCAGGGAAAATCATACATATTTACCAATCCCCAGAAAGCAAGCAAGAAGGGGGAAAAAAAGGCAGTTTAGAGAGGGGTGATGGAGAATCAGTTTGGCCTCAGATTTTTCCATTGTAACACTCAAAACCAGAATGCAGGGAGGAATGGCTACACAGTTGTGAGGAGGAAAATAGTAAACTAAGAGTTTTATACCCAATTTGCTCTTAGATACCAGTCATTCTTATGTACCCAAGATCTTAGGGAACACAGCAATCATGAACCCTTCTTGGGGGGAAAAAAAAATTGCTCTGAAATCTGGCCTAAGAAATGCATAAAAATTGGATTGGTGGTAAGGACTGAATCAATTTAAATACAGAACTAGGAGTAAGAGTCTTTGGGAATTCAGATTAGTGAAGAGGGTATAATTGGCATAGGCTAAACAATATCAAACAAAAATTTTTTAACAAAGATGTGGGGGGGGTGGTCTAAGATTGGGAGAAAAAGTGAATGTGTACTGATATGTTTATCTTTCATAACAGGAAAGCAAATGCTGCTGCCTGAAGTTAGAACACAATGTTTAAAAGTCATAATAATGAAACCCACACTTTTAAATAAACTTTCTTATTAATTTGAGAGAGCCTTTAGGAACTAATTTCTTATAGTAAAGTAGTATATTAATTCAGCAATTCCTTTAGTTTCATTTCAGTTTCCCCCCTTCCTAGTTAAGTGTAAATAAAATTGTTTTTACTAAAAAAATGCATGATCCAATTGTTCTAAAATTATATCTAGGTATACGCATAGATGTCTGGAATGATGCTTACAAATTGTTAGCAATTAATTTGCTATTTTGGGTGGTGGGATTCCCTTCTTTTTACACTTTTAATGTAATGAACATGTATCATTTTTACAAAATCAGCCATTATTCTAAAACAAAACAACAATCACCACCTTCCTGCCCAATTCACATTTTTCTTTCTACCTCTGGCTGTAGCTCATTGTTAACATCTGGTTAACTAACAGATATTTACTCTTAAATGCAGCATTTGCTCTAATTTCCCTTTGTATTCCCCAAAGGAAGCATGGTATAACAAGAGTTAAAATCATCTTCAGTAATTACCTTTCACTGAGCCCTTACTGCTCACCCAGTGCCATGCTAAAACCTTTTGCATGCATTCTTTGATTCAATCCTCACAACCCTGAGGCAAGTACCTTCCCTTTTCACAGATAAAGTAAAATAATTTGCCTAAAAGGTCACATAGCTATTAGGAGGCAAGAAGATTCAAAAACCTAGGTCAGACTATACAGGTCAAGCTCTTAACCACTAATTTTAGAGTAAAACAGGCCTGGTTCAAATCCAGATTCTGTTACTAGCAGTGTGGCCTTGGGCAAGTTAACAACTTGTCATCTTGATTTTTTCTACCTTCAAAATGGGCAGATTACCATCATACTTCATTACATAGTTAAAAATACATAAAAAATAAAGCTCTTGGTCCTCCATTTGACACATAGAAAGTACTCTATACTCTATGTGGTGATAAGTTACAAGTTCTTATAACACTAAGAACATCAAGAATAATGTGGTATTACAAAAGTAACTAAAATTTATACATACCAGAGAAATTTAAGTCATGTACCATGAATCTTAATGAAAAGTGTTTTTCAAGTTTCCTTTGGAGTCTGTTCACAAATTATTCCAATATTCAAGTATTGTAATATACAAGTATAAATTAGGGTTTGAAGAATTAAAATTTAGTAAAATATGATATATTAAAGAAAATTTTGGCCAACCAGAATAGCTCAAGTTCCTGAGCATGAAGTTTATCCATAGGCTCCATTTAAGTTGCCTCAGGCAAATTTGCTCTCTTTGGGGGCTAAACCATCATTTAAAACCATCACCTTAAAAGTAAAATCATGAAAAATATTTTAAGAGTTTAACTTCTGATTCTACTCTCAAGTCAAATAAACTTTTCGAAGACTTTTCCAAGACTTCTTTGTTTCCTGAAAAATGAATTTTTTATCTAACAAGGAAGGCACAGGAAATGGGTTAAAACATACAGCACTGTTCTTAATAAGTTGACTTGGCTATAATAAAAGTATATCTGCATATTGGTAATAAAGAACACATGAAAACAATTTTAATTGACTTTTGAAAGAAGCAATCTCGATAATTTAAAAAGTCACTTAATACATCACTATTTTAATTTTGGACAGCCAATCTGCTCCATTATAATTTCGAAGATATAACTATTTTATTTCAATTATAAGTTTTAGCATAATGACATTTCCAGGTCTCAGCAATAATATGCTGGGTTAAAAAATAATGGATTCTCACAATGGTTGCTGTTACAGTTAGGTCAATAAAGATCTTGAATATCAAAAAAATAAAAAATAAAAAATGGAGCTTCAGTGATTACTGAATAAATTAGGGACACCCAAGGGCAGAAAGTGCTTTTGAAATCCCTAACAATAATCTGTAACAAAGGCATACTTGAACATGCATACCTCAAGTCATCGCTTGGTTCTTTTCTGGGAAGTTCCATGTGCTTGGAGTCTATTGATTGGTGCTCTTCAGCAATATTGGGCTCCTGGCTTACCATGGGGACCTCTGAAGTAAATGAGAGCTCCCCTTCATTGGAGACTCCGAAGAGGTCAGGGTCATCTTGAATTACATCAATTAAGAGGACATCATCTTCATATGCTTTCACAATATCTGGAAACTCCACTTCAATTTCTGAAAAGTTCTTAGTCATTTTTCTACCACTAATTTCAGAGGAAACTGGTTCGAATGTTTCTTGTTCATTAAAGCAGAAGGTAGAATTTTTCTCTATACACCCAGGATCACAAGAAAAAATATTGTTTTCAACTGTGTGAGAAATAGTTTCTTTAATATTGCCTAGTTCAGAGATGTAGCTGGATGATTTATTATTATTACCTTGCTTTAAAAATCTTGGAGGAACAACATATGGATTCTTAGTGCCGTATGAGTCAGGATTAGCTTGCCTTGGAGTTACACTATTTTGTATGCTCAAAGATTGAGGTCCTGACGTTACTGTGGAGACATTTCCTGTACTCCTATTCTGTCTTCCCTCTGCTCCAGATAAACTGTCAAGAAGCTCCAGGGGACTGTATGTTTCTCTCTCTGACGACTTGGCATATATTTTTCTTTTTTCTGTTTTATTCTTAAGTAAAGGAATTTTAAAATTACTCAGCCGTCCTGTGTTTAATATTTTAACCAAGTCTGGAGCCACAAGTGTTTGCTTAGCAATATATGCTTTTCGGTGACTAGTTTTGCCTGTAGAGCTATTTGCTTCCTGGCCATGCTGGGAAGCCACCGTCAAATTAAGTTTTGTTAAAGTCCCTCTATCTTTTTTTTTACTTCCTGTTAAGTTTTGAGCCACATTAGTTAATAGAGTATCTTCAGTCGTAGTAGAAACTACTGCTGACCCATTTCTGTTCTGTTCCTCTGACTTTATCTTTTCATCGTCATTAATTATAGGTTCTTTCATAACCATTAACGTAGGTTCTACTGCAGAGACTACTGCAGAAACTGAAGACAAACAATTTAAATTAGAATCCAATTTTTCTTTATTTGAAGATTGACTGTTTGTTTCTGTTGTGGAACTTTGTAATGATAACTTGGAGTCAGTTAAGTGAGTTTGATTTGTTTGCTGTTTAAGAAAATCATCTTGCCTAAAACTTTCCTGAGACCCAGGAACAAAGTAATTTGATTCTGGCAAGGAAGTCTTTTTCCAACAGTAAACAGATATTCTAGCACATGAATAAAGAGGCCAAGTTCTTTTACCAGTCATTGGTATTGTTCTTTGACAGCTGAACTTCGATTCTTCAGCTTCATTTCTCAAGTCTTCCTGTGATCTCTTTTCAACAGGTTGGCAATCACTAGGTGATTTCACTATTGAATTTCTCATTGACTTAAAATATTCTTCTGGCTCCACGCTTTTACATCCTAAGGGCTCTGAAGCCATCTTTGTTTTTTCTTTCAAAAGTGGCTCAAGGGTTTTCTGAAACATAGCTTTTACATCATGCTCAGGACTTGTCTTTTTTCCTACTGCTTCTGGAAGACTTAAATGATCCACTGGAGAGAGGGTATTATGGTTAACTTTTCTCAAAAGTTCTAAAGGACTTCTTTTGGCCTCTGCAGTCTCTGCTTGTTTACCTTCAGCATGCGTTTGGTTTTCTTGTAACAGCAACTCACACTTGTTATACACATTAGAGAAGTTCATCTTGATAACGGTTTCATCTCCTTTTTCAGACACCTTCATTCTTTTCCTGGGTTTTCTCCCCACATTGCTCTCCTCTACTGAATATTTATTTTTTTCACTTTGAAGGCAGGGAAGCAAGCCATTATTTCTACTTTGGTATAAATCAGCTTCTTCAAGCAATAATTTATTTACTCCCATTAAGTTTCCTTCAGTTTTCAAAAGCTGAGACATATTGTTTGTGCCACTCTTATCTGCAAGACTCCTAAGGTTTTCTTTCTTTAACTTTGAGGAATTTTCTGGTACATGCATACACCCACCATCAGGTTTATATGCAAGGCTACTTTCATCATTACAATCCTTGGAATGGGGGAAACCACTGCCATCGTGTAATTTTAAATTGTCACTATTTTCTACTCCAGGTGACAAGCTGTTACAAGAATATTCTGGAGTATTCTTGTACAGTTCATCTTGGAATTCAACCTTTATATTTAGTGTATCCTTATTTTCAGTTATTTTGAGAGGTGGGCGTTCTAAGCTTTTAAGTTTTTTAATGCGAATTCTTCTTTTAATACCGTCTACCAAACCTTCCTTACCCAAAGACTGCAAGGAAGCCGGACTTTGCAATACACTGCACTCCGCTGTTTGGAAAGATTCCGAACCGGTTAATGATTCCTTTCTTACCAGGTCAGTCCCTGGCCGTGGATCCTCGCTTGAGGTTTCGGTAGCTTTTCTTTTCTCCTTTGCTGGTCAAAAACGACAAAACATACCAGAAATGATTTTATATTGAGGAGGAAAAGGCAATACTACTACTTTAACATAAAAAAAAACTGTGAAGCCATCCATTCTTAATTCCCAGAACAGCTGTACAGAAACGCACACTTGTTTTTAAAAATAAAAGACCTAATTTCTGTGAAGGAACTACAGACAAACCTGTACAAATTCTAAGGCCGTTAAATAGCCTCTCAGCATCATCGTCCTTTCACAATAGCCAAAAAGGGATCCGAGTCGGAATTTCTGTTGTAGCAATTCTGACCAAGGGCTGCTCACTGGGCAAACCCCTTTTCAGAGAGCTCCTATTTTTTTTTTTAATTTTTATTTTTTTTTACCCCTCTCCTGGTCATCAGTAAAACTCACACAGGTCCCAGTTAAACACTAGCGGTAAAGCAAGGATGGGGCAGGCTGAGGTGCAAAGGCTAAGAAAGGGGTGACCCCCGGGGGCTTCCTTCTTGTGTCTGTGGGATCGCAAGAGGGGCTGCGTCTCCTTCACGCGTCTAGGCCCGGCTGGTCCCACGGGTCGGACGGGCCCCCCTGGCTGCCCGGCCCCTCCACTCGCCGCCTTGCCACGGCCTTCCCAGTCGCGGACGCCTCACCCGACTTGTCACTCGCCACCTCTTCTCTCTCAGACGCCACCATTCGCTTTCGCCTGCTCTCCTCACGCCCGCTGGCCTCAGGGCCGCAGCCTCCAGCCTCGCCCGGCTCTGGCCTCCGACCTCGCTTCCTCAGGCCTCGGGCGTCGCCTTCCCGCCCCGGGGCCTTTGTGGGGCCCGAGGGCGGCGGCGGCCGCCGCCGCATCCGCCCTGGGCCGCCCGCCATGCCCGCTGAGGAGACCGCCAGCCGCGAAGAGCCCGCTCCTGCCGCCCGTCCGGTAGCCGCTGCTCTGACCCCAGCGCCGCGTCGCCCACCACCTAGGCCCGGGCCGGAAGCGGAAGCGGAAGTGGGAAGGCGAGGCCCGGCCGGGCAGGCGCGCTTCCCCGCGGCTGAAACCTTCCGGAACCACTCAGGGCCCTTCGCCACCTGCGGCCCCGGGCCGCTCACCAAGACCACTGTCTGCCAGTGGCTTCTAACTCCACCCTGTCTCCGGGGGTCCTTTTCCGTCTGCCTCCTGGATGTGCTCACCCACATCCATGTCTTACAGGCGCCTCAAATTACGGATGTGCAAAACCGGCCTATCTTTTCCCAAAGGCTGGGCTCCTCCTGTGTCGGTGGATCCGCCACCATCCACCCTAATTGTAGAAGCCTAGAAACCAGAGACACGCGTCTTCCCACTTCGTACCCCACGTCTACGTTTCATCCGCCTGATTCTGCTTTCTGTGTCTGCCAGGCACTCTCCCCTTCGCTAGTAGTGGCTCTGGCACTCAGACTTCGACTGCCTGCCTGCATTAACCTCCTCCATTTGTGTTCGTGCCGTCTCAAACTTCCGCCCGCTGCCAGGCCATGCCCTGCCGCCCCGATGGAAGGGGACTCTTGCATTTCCCAGCCTGACCGTGAACCTCCTCCTTTGCTCAAAGACTAAAACGAACGAAGTCCAGACTCTTCAGGGTGCGATCTGCAGGTCTTTCGGCTGTGGCCCCTGAATATTGCACTGATTTTGTCTCTTACTGTAGGGGAAAAGTTGTGCTTCAATGGAAAACGATGCATTATCTGATTCTGAGTCTATGGGAGCTTTTTTTTTTTTTTAACAACTATGTAAGTTGTAAATAAGCGGTAACAACGTGAAAATAATGGTCTATCGACACACAAGTTCTGTCCTGTGGAAGAAGTTCAATTGACTCCCCAGATCCACTTTGAAAGAAGCCAGCTTTGCCTTCATTTGCATCTTCATTTCAATGTTCTGATTTATAAGTGTGTCTGTTTTTTGGACTTATCCTTGAACCGGTAGTTATAAAATCTGCCTGATGAGAGAAATAAAATCTTTAACACATGTTAATTTTTACATCTATATGAGAATCACGATTTTATCAGTGTTTTTTTGGGGGAAAACTATCTTTTAACACTACACATACCCTGCACGTAAACCACACTGGGTACGACTGGGGTTCCCCAGGTTTCACATGCTGTCATGCCTTTGTCTCTCTACATGCTCGTCCTAGGAATTCTTCCTTTGCTCATCTGCCATTTGAACTTCATATTCCCCTTTGAGATTCAGTGCGATGATTACTCCTCAAGGAAGCTTCTCTGCTACCTTTCTCCGTACACTTGGAGGGGTTAGGTGTTCCTCCCCGCCTGCTAACACATTGCTTTCAACTGCTTACTTGTGTGTCTCCCTCAGGGCGGATATCTTCTGTAATGTTTGCGTTTTGTGTGTTTAAAGAGGAACGTGGTGATTATGAACACGTGTGTGATGCATTAAAGGATAGTAGGTATGATGTAGAGCAAGTGAGTGCTGTGGCAGTTTGAGCAGTTTAAGTTAAGTATCCTTAGGCGCTTCTATAAAATAAAACTTAGGTAAAGGAGGTGCAAAGGGGCTAGAAACTTTCTTTGTTTCTTTCTGATTGTAAATACCCCCTGTGAAAGGGAAACATTTAAAAATAGAATTTAGAAAAAGTTATTTTAAGGATTTCAGGCTTCCTCCTATTCCAAGTTCACTTGGTGCCTGTTTCCTCAGCTGTAAAATGAAATAGGGATATCTCCTGAAGGAAACCAGAGTATGTCATCCCATAATATCCCTCTTCAATATAAAAATTATTTTTGAGTTGAAGGCTTTCTCTGGTTGGTCCTAAGTGGGAAGCAGGGACAAAAATTAGGGAAGCTGTCAGTTATTAATCAAGCCCTGGCCATTTGGGGCTGATTGTTACAGAAGTTATTGGTTAGCTTCCTGGATTGTTACTCAAGATAGCAGTCTGACTTCTTACAAGTCTGACTTTTAGCAGGCTGGCTTCCCAGGCTATTTATTGTAGATAAGAGTGTTAGTTTCCTGGACAGGTTGCTGCAGTTTTTCGGTCAGAGTTGTATTTTTATATATCATCTGGCTTTCATCTATTTGCATATTTAGTCTCGCACTCCTTTTCTTTTGCCTCTGAGGAAGAACTTTTCTCTATATTTCCAAGGCCTACACTTACACTAATGAACTTGCTTGCACCTGCCAGTTGCCCCTGAGTCTACCTACTCACACTCTTGCTCCTAAGTTTCTTGGAAACTGGTTTCCTTTCCAGATACTCCAATGAAATTTCAATCTCAAATGAGATCGCAGGTTTAAAAAGCTGACAACAGAAACATCACAAAATCTATAAAAGTAGCATAACATGATTATTATATTTATAATTTCTGTATTACATATTATGTTGTAAACTTTTAACTGTTTTTGGCTACATACTTGATTACCTCCTCACATGACAATGGCTTTGTAATATTTTTCTACAAAGAGAATAAAGAATCTGGTCTCATCGCTTCTCAGCCTTTTGGCTAAGATGAAGTACGTAGAATCTGGTCTTTCCTTGAGCATGGTCAGCTTAAACTTGTTCATACCTGGTAGTTTGGAAGCATAAACAGGTGTCTCTACACTGATACACTGTGTATAGTGTTGCTGCAGGTTTGTGCAGGTTTATAGGAATCCTGATAAATTATACTTTATGTGATTAGCATCTGGGAGGGTAAATATGACAGATGACAGACAAAGCAGACAATGGCCAGATGATATACAAAAATAAAACTTTGACCTACAATGTACAGCAACCAGCCCAGGAAACCAAAACATTATCCACCTGAATAGCCTAGGAACCTAGTCTACTATCTGTAAGTCAGATTTATACAAAGTCAGACCACTATCTCTAGTAAATGGTCCAGGAAGCCAAACAATAACCCATGTAACAATCGGCCCCAAATGGCTAGAACTTGATTAAAACTTGGAAACAAAAATTAGGGATGCTATCAACTTAGGACCAACCACAGAAAGCCAAATATGTGCTCCTACCCAGTCACATAGGATGCACCACTTTTATTTAGCCCATCTACAACTTCCCCATGCCCACAGCCTCCTATCAGGGCATCCCTGAAACCTTCCCCTTTGCTTTCCCACGCCTCTGCCTGCTTTTGAGCCTCTGCCAAAATGCAAGTGCTAATGGCTGACTCCATGGCTATAGCAAGCTCTGAATAGACTTTGCCTGTTCTAATTTGGTTGGTCTTCATTTATTTCTACACATCAAAAAAGAAAAAGATGTATAATGACTTTATAATTGCATATGTGGCATTATCTAGTACATTTGCACAAGACAGATCTTCCATTTTAACTGGGCATTGATGAAAACCCAATCCTCTGTTTGCAATTTACATGTCTAATAATTGAAAGTTTTCCATAAACCAAGTTTGGGTCCTGTCGGCTTCAAATCTTATTTTTCCTCCCTGCCCATTCACTTCTGTGGCAGGAGCTGCAGACCACTTTCATACTGTGATATGACATCTGGCCCTGTGCCATCTGCCACCACGCTGGGTGAGTGTACAGTACAGCAAATCATTTCTATTTCAGCAGAGCAAGCGGTAACAACTATACACTGAGGTACAGGGATCTTCATAATTATATCCAATGAAACCCAAATTAAATATATTCTCAATTCAAATTCTCCTTAGCCAGACTGAAGGAGGCTGCAAGGGAAGGAGTGTCCTGCAGTGGTGGCAGATTTGTTAGAACAAGAAGGTGAATGGAATGTTATGGATGGTAGGGAGGGTCTTCTGGACAGACCACGTATTCTAGGGGGCACTATGGAAGGGGATTGAGCTGGGACATGCACAGCCTGGGGGATGCTGAGGGAAGTCTTGATATTCCTCTAGTGATTTTTCAAGTCGAAATACAGTCCAGGTATGGGAACCAGTCTAGTTGCTCCCATGTCATCCTATACTAATAATGGTAATAGGTAAGCCTATTAAGCATGTATTATATAAAAGCACTCTTCTAAATACTATTGCTATTAACCCATTTACAGATGAAATTGGGGCACATGGAGGTTAAGTGACTTTTGTAAAGTCCCACCGGCAGTAAATTAGTCATGTACCTCGAAAGTCCACATGTTTATCTGCCCCTGGCACTGATGTCCTGTTGGAATTTCCTGCTTTTGTCTTCATTCTCCGTTTGTATGCCTTTCTTATTGCTTCGGCAACAAATTACCGCAAACTTGGTGACTTAAATCAATACAAATTTATCTTACAGGTCTGGAGGCCAAAAGTCTGAAATGGGTCTCACTGGGCTAAAATCCAGGTGTCAGCAGGATTGTACTCCTTTCTCAAGGCGCCAGGGGGAGAATCCATTTTATTTCCCTTTTCAACTTTCAGAGGCTGCCTGCACTCTTGGCTCATGGCCGTTCCCATCTTGAAAGTCAGCAATGGCTGGTCAGTCTTTCTCACATTGTATCACTCTGACACTCTTCTGCCTCCCTCTTCCCCGTCTAGGGACCTTTGTGATTACATTGGTCCAGGATCATCTCCTTATTTTAAGGTCAGCCTTAATTTCACCTGTTATCTTAATGCCCCTTTGCCACCTAATGTATTCACAGATTCTATGGATTAGGATGTGGACACATTGGGAGGACATTATTCGGCCTATCACACCAGTATACTCTACCTTCCATAAAGAAAAGTGACGCCTCTGTTTATAGTTGGACCATATCACAGCTGGTCCCATGCTTGTATAATGCTTGCTCAATGTACAGGTTATACATTTGTTACAATAACTGATTTGAGCATGTCCATGAGGTACATGGCATTTAGTATACCCCTACCAGCCCTACAAGGAAGGGCTTGTTGCCACTGTGGGTCACTTAGAACAGGACACTGAGGCTCAGAGGGGTGTCCTCCCTCAGAGA